ATAGAATATTGGCAAGTCAAAACGAATGTTGTGTGTCTTATTTCCGTTGTGCTGTGTCTTGATGTTGTTGTTTTGTGGCTTGATTCCGTTGTGTTGGGAACTTATGTTTGCTTTTTAAATTTTGTTGTGCTGTCACATCTCTTCTCTTCTCTAAGGGGGTATTCTTAGAAAGCAGGTTTTGCGACTTACCTGGCTTAGTTTACACAACAATTCTTCTTCTTCTTCTTCTTGTTTATTCGGTTACAGAACCTGAGGTAACTTTCAGGGTAAGTATAGCCATAGTAATTCACTGAACATAACCTGCTCTGAAGGTTATTCTCTCTCTCTCTCTCTCTCTCTCTCTCTCTCTCTCTCTCTCTCTCTCTCTCTCTCTCTCTCTCTCTCTCTCTCTCTCTCTCTCTCTCTCTCTCTCTCTCTCTCTCTCTCTCTCTCTCTATATATATATATATACATATATATATATATAATTACAATTTAAAATAATAGTAATTATAATATATATATATATGTATATATATATATATATATGTATATACATATATAATTAATATTATTTTAAATTGTAATAATTGTTCTCGATATTGGTTTTATATATATTTATAATATGTGATTTATTATCAATGTTGGAAACAGTTGTGATGCTTTATTTATTTTTTTATAACCTGTTTTGATACTTTTTTCAGGATTCTTTGATGAATAATCACTCTCCAGAACATTCTCATTCACGGTTCCATGCTGGTGGAATGATCTCCCCACCCTCATCCGGAATGCAGAATTCCTGACAGCATTCAAAAGACAACTGAAAACTCATCTCTTCCGGGAGCACTTAACATAACATAAAAATCCTTTCCTCTAAATCCTTGCTTGCCTGGCTTATGCTACTCCGAGCTATGTCTGAACTTTGTATTTTGAGCACTTCTTGCGTTGTTTTTGCCTCTTCAAGATGACTCGCTTGGTTTAGTCCTCAGTTGTAAGTCGCTTTGGATAAAAGCGTCTGCTAAATGACTAAATGTAAATGTAAATGTAAATAAAAAAAAACCCAGCATTTATTTAAAATACAAATCTTTTGTAACAATTTACTACCAAACTAAAGTTTGGGGTTTTTTTTATATTTTATTTTAAGATATTAATACTGTTATTCAGCAAGGATGTGTTAAATTGGTAAAAAGTGATAGTAAGCATTATTTTTTAAAGCATTATTTTAAATTATAATAATATTTCACAATATTACTGTTTTTTGTTTCGGTATTTTTGATCAAATAGATGCAGGCTTGATGAGCATAAGATACTTTTTTTTCCAAAAACATTAAAAATAGTAATGTTTCCAAAGAACTTTTGACTAGTACACACAGATGTGGAAGCAAAATGGCTAAACATAAAAAAAGTTAACTTAGACACAGACAGCCATATTATCTTTGCAAGCACAGGCTGTTCTTTTAAACTTTCTATTAATCAAAGAATCCTGAAAAAAAAAAAAAAATGTTTTCAACATTGATAATAATAATAAGCAAATTAGCATATTAGAATTATTTCTGAATGATCATGTAACACTGAAGACTGGAGTAATGATGCTGAAAATCTAACTTTGCCAAAAAGTTAAACAATTTTAAATTGTAAAAAATATTTCACAATATTTCTGTTTTTCTGTATTTTGTATCAAATAAATTCAGCCTTGGTGAGCAGAAGAGACTTTAAAAAAACATTTAAAAAATCTTACTGATCTAAAACTTTTGAATGGTAGCTCTCTCTCTCTCTCTCTCTCTCTCTCTCTCTCTCTCTCTCTCTCTCTCTCTCTCTCTCTCTCTCTCTCTCTCTCTCTCTCTCTCTCTCTCTCTCTCTCTCTCTCTCTATATATATATATATATGTATATATAATTCATTTATTTATTTTGAGAACCCGTTTCACTGGGACACATCACAATAGGGAAGACAAAACTATCCGTCACTTGGATTATATAATGCATTTTTCTTATTTACATTAAATACAGAAATTCTAAAAGGGGATGTAGTGTTTTCTCTAATTAATTTTTCAATAAGTAATCCACCATGTTTTCTGCTCATATTACCTCATTGAAAATAAATTACTTTCCATTGCTTTGTCACTGCAAATTGCTATCCTTGTGACCGCTCACTAAAATATAATATATGCTTACATTACAGATAATGCGTGTATGTAAATTTTGTCTCCATTCTCCTGGTTCTGGCCTGCCAATAATATATATTGACAGAAGTTTAGTTTAAGAATTGAGTTAAGTTTTATTTTGATGTATAGTGTTTGCTATGTCAGCAGGTGTAATCTTTTTGCAGTCGTCTTAAAATCACTGATAATTTGGGGTTATTTTCCGTCTACAATATTGTAATATATTAAAATGATATTAACCATGGGTCCTACAAAATTAATTCCAGTTTAAAACAAACAAACAAACAAACAAACAAACAAACAAAAAAACAACAACAAAAAAATTATTCCTGCTGGTTTTTTTTGGCAGATTTGTCAACGTTGCATAACAGAGGATAACCTTGATGGCCCTGTTACATGTGAATGATTACGGAAGTAAAATAGTTTTGAAATAATAATGCTGTCAGTCAGGATTTTTGTCATGTCTTTGCAACAGCTTTCAGATAGAAGAGCAGAACCAACACTGTCAGCTGCACAAGGACTTTATGCTGTCCTGTTCAAACCATACTTTCATTTTAAGAAAAAAATCAGTTTTATAAATTAAGGGCCAGATTTACTAACAGCTTGCGCCGGCACAAACCCTCTTTTGGTGTTAATAAAAATCACTGTTAGGATTTACTAAAGATACTGTGAAAAATTAGCTCTGAAAAGGCATGGACAGGGTTATTTTTGCGGCTGACCTTATTGCACTCTCATTGGCGTTTTTTGGAATTGTTCTCTCACGCTAATTTGACCTGTTTAGAATATCTAGCCCTAAGAGTCAAACGTAAACTTTTGGCCCTCTAGCGGTTAAAAAGCAAAACTACATGCATTTTGCGGAAGAACATTGTTTTGGTTGTGCTTCGGCTTTGCATGACTGTGCGGATGAATATGGTTATCCTACTGCTCATAAAACATTCACTACTAGGCCTAAGGGATAGCCTATAACCAGTTAAAATGGAAAGAATCTCAAGCTGACTAAAGCTGAAGACGTTACTGTAGCTATACCCATTAATAGAAACGGTACTTCTTTGAAAATAATTGTAGCGCAGCGCTACAACAACCGTAATGAAATCGCCCTTCGAAATGAATAATGCTTTACAATGAACTCTGTTAAAAGACAATTTATCTGTTTAATAAAATACCTCACTCACCTGTTGAGTAATAAAAACGCCATCTCTGAGTCGCTTTTACTACCTTTCTCCAAAAAGCCAAGCCAATGTTGATTCTCGTTTTATTACGAGCTCTGCTGCATTCTCTTTCTGCCTGCAGACTCTCCTCTGTTCTGCATTTTTAAAACGGGTTATTCCCCGGTTTGGGATTTAGCGTGCACCATGTCAACCTTTCTCGCTCGTGACAACTAACCGATGCCACTCTCACACCATACAAGCGTCAAAGTAGCCGGAGCAACTTTTCTCTATTTACAGATATGACAATACATGCACGGGCGAGTGATGCATGTATGCAATTTCCAGTGAAAAGCATCCTGCTTGTTCGAAATATAAACACTTATAATAGGCTTACTATAGTGAATCAGGGTTAGACAAAAAAAAAAAGTTTTGGTAGAAGGATTGATGATGTATTGAGTCATTCAAATTTGGCAAATTTTGAAAAATAAAATAAGTTACGTAGTGTAAAATTACTATATAGCCTTACTATATCTCATGTGCATAGTAGGGCTGCACGATTAATCTCAATTAACATGAAATAGCGCTTAAACCGATTTGGTTTATTGCGATTATGAAATCGCAAAGGCTGCGATTATTTGTTATGCTTGTCAGTGATGAACAGCAGTAGTAACTGCTGGTCCAACTGAAAGCTCTGCGAGTTTGAGTCGCTTATAAGGTGAATTTGGAAAAGCAACACGCGCCAAACATCTTTCCAAACACGAGCAGCATTTATGAACCTGTTGACCAACAAAAAACAACATTTAAAAAAATAAATCCAAGTGTTTCAATCTTCTGTTTATTCAGCTACATCGATAGTATGATGCCCATAGGGATTTCCTGGAATAACTTGCGTTATACTTCTGCGACAGGGCATATTTGGAGTTTTTCTGCGTGAGAGCGCCCTCTGGCTTTCAGATGGAGCAGCATTTACTACCGAGAACAGTGCCGTACTTCACTGACAAGCTGCGCATAAAATAATCGCAGCCTTTGTCAAATCACGTGCGGGTTTCATTTCGATTAATCGTGCAGTCATCATGCATAGTATAACTATATGTAATTCAGTTAAGTTTACTTAAATATTTATTGTCTTAGTTATTTAATACTTAGTTATATATTATCACATATAGTATCAATCAGGCCCAAAGTTTAGCTCCGTTTAGCTCCAGCCCTGATCAAGCACACCTGAACAAGCTAATAAAGTAATAAAGGTCTTCAGGATTACTAATGCGTGGGCCTCATCCTCATCTGACTTTCGTGGGACCAACTCCGCACAGGGCCCAGGATAGTATAATGTTGACTGAGTGTAAAGGAATCTGATGAATCCTGCATAACAACAACTCTCAAACACTCCGATTCATAGATACTGGTAGGAATTTACTATTATGCAATGACGATAATATATTTTATACTCCGACCATGAAAATTCACTTTCCTATATTTATACAAATGTAAAACAGTGAGTTGATTAAAGAGATATTAAAATCTATTTATTATCAGCTGTTCAAATATGATACTGTTTTGCTTTGTTGATCGAATTTCAGAGACAAGGCCTGATAAAGTGTGTAACTATAATACAAGAGAACAAGAGAACAAGGAAATAATAGAGAGAATTAAACTGGTCTAGCAGGTGACCCACACGCAGTCACATTATTGTGGTGACCTGCACAAAGATTTTGTAGGTGGATCATTTGACAAGGAAACAAAATCTCAGACCCTGAGAAACGAGTTCGGCATCTCTTCATGGTTGTTTCCAGAAGTAAGGTAAGTGTGACAAATCAATGTTTATTCTTTTGAATGTATAACTGCTTTAAATTAAATTTTTGAAGTAGGCCTACATTAATAAAAAGCCTTGACTTTAAAATGTACTGTTCAATGCTTTACTTTTGAAAATTGTAATTTCTGTCTACAAGCAGAACAAGCAGAAATTTGACCTACATTCAGGTGTGCGATTGCTGTTGACTGGTGCGCAACCAATACTTATTTGTGCTTGCAGTTTGTGTCATTGTAATTTATTATGAAACAACCCTTTTTTATTGCAGGGTACTGTACTTCCATTACAATTTGTGACAAATAGCATGGAAATTTGACTGTTTTGAGCACTGGACATTACAAAAGACCTTAAACATCTTTAATCAAAATGTAGTCTTATCATTGTCCACTGATCATCTATGACATAATTTCCTATTTTACAGATATAAGGTGTCTGGATGAGCCATATATTTGCCTTTTGTTCTGAAGAAATATGTTGAAGTGATTTTGACTAACATCAGTGTCATCAGTGAGAAACATGGCCGGTCAAGGTACGATCAACTAAATTATTTTTGGTTCACTGTAACTACGTTTGTCACAAAAATGCTGTAATGCAAGTCATTGAAGTCAATTATCTCAAACCACTTGTGCCTTTAGGTTTTAGATCTTATATAATGCCAAATATTTTCTGGGTTTGATTACGATATCTCACTAAAAAATTGATCGAATTTGGTGCTCTTACCCTGCAAAAATGTTCACTGTTGAAACTATCAGTTTACAAATTTGCATTGAAGACAGTGCTTCATGCAGTAAATTTTATTATCTTTTCCGAGACTGTGCTAATAAATGTTTGGTTTTTCTGATATCTGTTTATACGCCATATATTTATGTTTTATTTCTCAGATAAAGGAAAAATATTAAAGTACTTTGCAGGAATCATAATGACGCTCCTGCTGACGCATGAATGTGTTGTGGAAACACTTGATTTCCCAGAAACAAGTATAGATTTAGAGGTAGGGAAAGGTTTTTTTTTTTTTTCACTGTGGGAACATAAACACAAATCATGTACTGTATGAAAAACAACAGAATCCTGTCTTTTTAAGATTAACTTGCTATAATATAGTTTTCACTAATAATTAAATATTTTGTAACCATTAAAAGCACTTTTATGTGTTTAACATGAAATTTATAGCATAAAACAAATGTATTGTATAGAGCCATGGTCCAGTGTTATTTTAGTTTTATTATAGTTGTATTCATATTTTGAATGTGCATTTATTTTTATAATTTTAATTTGTTTATTTTGTAGTAATTTCGTTATGTGCTTTTGTCTTTTTATTTGTTTTTGTTTAAATTTTGCTATTTAGTTTTAATTTATTTTTCGTTCAGATTTAGTTTTATTTAGTTTTTATTTATTTCTAGCTAATACTTTTTAGTACTTCAACATAAACTTGTGTCAGATTATTACCACAACAACATTTCTAGTTTCCGTTTAGTTTGTTTTTCAACTAATTTATATTTTATTTTATTTCATTTAGTTAATGTTATTAACCCTGCCATGGTCACATGATCAACTCACATGATAAAAGTTTATATATAGATAGATAAATGTATTTTTGTGTTGTTTTATTTTTACAGTTTAGCTACATTGATGGGCAACTGCATCATAGATTACCGAGAAGCGCAGGTCGGATTCACTGTTTTGTCCTCTACTCACACTGTTATAATAATTGTTTGATGTTATTTATATAAGAATCAAGACACATTAACTTAATATGCTTTGTTATTTTTGTCTGGGATTTTGTCTGTCAATGGTTTTGTCTTGTCCTTTCCTTCAAGAGTACAGGCCTCCTTATGACCCCATGATGATTAAAATCTCGTTCATTTTCTCATGTATAGAGCTATTGGAGTTCATTGTGATTGTGGAAGTGAATGCATCCCAAGCTGTGGTGATTGAACAGATCAGAGTGTCATTGGCTTCCATCACATTCCCTCTTCAATTGGACAACAGTACTGAAATTACTGCTGCGAACATCACAACAGGTGAGCCAGTTAAACCAGTGATCAAAAGCTATTTATGTAATTCTTACTGATCCATTATCATCTTTCATGTTGTGCAAACAATCTGTTGTTAACCAGTTCTGTTATATTTACATTAGTGTGCCAGCCAAATGTGACCGAATACCAGTGCGTATGTGAAGATGGTTATGCATGGACATACAACAACTGCAAGACATATGAGGCCTGTGATGACATCAGTCTGGGCTCATGTGGATGTATCAGTGGTATTCCGAGTGATGGAGAGATGTGTGTGCTGGAGAGCGGTAAGAATCATGACCAAACAAGCCAACTGCAAATTTACTCTAAAAAGCTGTATTAATGTTTATGTAAAAAATCATACAGTAAAAAGAGAAAAAAATGTTAAATGGTATACTGTAAGTTACCTTAACATTTACAGTAAAAAGTATGAATATGCATATAATTTAGTGAAAATCTATATTTTATTTAACAAGACAATATACTGTATGCATGTTTACATTAAAATATATTTTAAGGAGTCTCCTTATAATTTATGGTGAAAAGCTATTTAAGAATGTTCCCAAATGCATCATTTCAATATATATATTTTTTAATAGTTATGATTAATTATGTAAACATGGATAGTGTTATGGTGGTTTTTAAGGTAAAACAATAGATTTACTGTATGGTACATTAACATCTCAGTTAACAAAATGTACAAATATATTCTGTAAAGTATATGGACACCAAAATGCCTCTCATGATGCCTAGAAAGTTTTACAGTGAAATTGCACAGTCACTAGTTTAAGTTTTGTACTGTAAATTTAACCAAAAAATGTAGTCTATTAACATCTGTTGGAACTACTTTTGATTTTTTTTTAATGTATTACACATTGCTATTGAATTAATTACATAAACATGTACATTGTAATAAAAAATACAAAGTACAATAATATATGCTTGTTGATTCTGCCACAGAACTTCCCTTCACAGACCTATTGTTTGAAATTGAGATTGAATCATCAAGCATCTCTGTGATCGATGAGATGAGGAGATATTTTCAGAACATGACCTTTCCACTTCAGTTAGATGAGCTGGTTGAAGTATTAGATGTGGACATCACGACAGGTGAAGAACATCACATGACCTTCATGAGCTTCTGAACACAAACACAGCAGTTCTGGTCTGTTAAAAATGACCTTGCGTTTATGTTTTATCCTTTCTTAGTGTGCAATTTCAATGACAGTGGATACAAGTGCGTATGTGAGGATCAGTATTTCTGGCCGTGTGAAAAGTGCACAGAATATGGGAGCTGTGATGACATCACTAACAACACATGCAGCTGCATCAATGATATTCCAAGTGACAGACAGTTCTGTCAACCAGTCAACGAGATAACAAGTAAAATTGTTTTATACATTTCTGTTTGTGATCACACAGAACACCTTGGTTATTGTTACAGATTATTTCTAATCCATTCTCACCCTTTTCCTGGAAGATAACACTGCATGTGGGAAACCACCAACAGGTACATACAAACATCTGATTTAAATCCCGAAGTCCATATAACTGCAGCATTTTCATGCATATTGGAAGATAATATTCTATTGAATATTCCTAACTCTTTTTATCTTTCCTACACTCACTCCAGTTCCAGCTGAATATCTAACTGAAATTCAGATAGATGCCGAGAATACTTCCATCATTGATCAGCTGATGAGCTATTTGATGTCTTTCAGTTTTCCCTACAAAATCAGTGACAGCACTAACATCACAGAAATCAACATAACTACTGGTATGAGCTCTGTCTCTGCTTTGACTTGTACTTTATACATCATATATTCTGCTAACTTGTGGATTTTGCTTTCCAGTGTGTTCATTGAACCAAACGCAGTATCAGTGTAAATGTGAGGGTCTGTTTGTTTGGCCAAATGACACGTGTCACTCGTACGAGGCCTGTGATGATATCACTGATGGTTCATGTACATGTATCAATGCCCTTCCAGTCGATGGACAGTTCTGCCAGTTAAAAGAAGGTGAGCCATTACATTCATAAATCTGGAAAACAACAGCATTCTCCTGTTAACTTTTTATATTTGACATTTGATTTGTAGCAACCCAATGCAACTAAATATCATGGACAGTGATTTCACACTTTTAATTTAAGCACACTTTTGATCTTAAACTTAATTGCTTATCTTTTCTTAATATCTGGTATACCGATAATTGTAACCATTTTAGTGAGTCTCTAAAGAAAAGTTTCCAACAACAGTTTTCACAGTAACTTATTTAATGAAGTGTTTGGATAATTTCTTGGATAATTTGGAAAAAACAAACAAAAAAACCCAGCAATTATTAAATTGAGAAATGTGTAATATTTTTTTTTGCCATAACCCAAAACATAGATGAAAATGAATTCATTAATAAAATATTGGCAATGAATATAATGTTTTTTTTATATTGGTAGTCAAATTATCATACAGATGTTGTGTCAAAAAGCAGAAATCACATATAAATTGGTTCAGCATATCAGTTATTGGACATTGGACATTAGTGTATAAAAATAATCTGAATCAGAGTCACAACAACATTCCAGAAGAAGGCCGTGGCATCAAGAAAAACCTGTTTTTGACAGTGAGGGTACATAGTTTTACTTTTGTTCTGCTATACTTTTTTTTTTGCAGCACCACCTTCTAACTACGAGATTGACATTGATGTGAGTTTCTTTGACCTGTTCCTGGTGAACTACTTAAGAAGTATAATCACGAACATCAGCCTGCCTCTCATTCTGAGCAACAGCATAAATATCACAGATATCGACATGACTACTGGTGAGAGCAGAAAGCTTCGTTACATCAGTGTTTGCACAAAAATTAGTAATTTTAATACGATTAGTTTTATATTTCTAATCATGTATGTTAGATAGACTGTATATTTCCTTCTGCGCCACTGAATGTCTTTGGATATTAACATGCACATGAACACAAAGTTACTCTCATATATTTTTACCTACAAATGCAAAGATTCAGAAATGCTTTATATAATAATTTTAATAATTATTTAATAATAATTTAATAATTACTTAATCAATTTAAGTGACTTCTATTGATTGTATGAATATAGCCAAAAAGTCGCCATCATTTCTTTTTTTCACAGTGTGTGGGTTAAATGGAACACAATATGAGTGCAAGTGTGAGGAGCGTCATGTTTGGCCCAATGACACCTGCAGGGCCTATCATGAGTGTGAGGAGATTGTGGGAGGCACTTGTGGATGTATTCAAGCTCTCCCTTCAGAGGGTCCGCTTTGCCAGAGAGGTAAGAATCACATTAGATCACACATGTACTGATTGTAATTGTAGTAACATGACCAGTATGATTTTACTCAGTGACACTTGACACGTTTTGGTGGTTTAGAAATCTTAACATTATTGCAATAGCTTCTCACTCTCTGTTTTTTTTTTTCCAGACATCAATGAATGTGAAGATGCAGTATCAGTTTGTGGTCAATACTCAGATTGTATTAACATCATTGGGAGTCACATGTGTTCATGCTGGAGTGGATTTAATTCCTCCAATAAAGACAGTCCTGTGAGCCGCAACAACTCATGTCAGGGTGAGTATTATCAACTGATTTTGCCTCATAAAATTGAGAGTGCAGAGCTGCTATATCTTTACAGTTTGTGTGAATACTAGTGTGAGTTTTAGCTGTTCCTGTTTGAGCTGTAACATCACCAAACAAATAATTATTTAAAAAAAAAATTACTGTCTTGGAATTATAATATCAATACTTTTGTTTAAATACCAGAAGTCTTTCATGTCTTTAGACTTTGTACCTAATTTAAAACTCTAAACGTAATAGTTTTTTTTTTTTTTTTCATAGATATAGATGAATGTCTGGTCAGTCCATCTGTATGTGGTCCAGATTCCAACTGCACAAATGAAATGGGAAGTTACAATTGCTCATGTTTGGATGGATTCACTGTAACAAACTCAAGTCTCACCATCAGCATCAATAACACATGTAGAGGTAAATCCTAGAATCACATTTATATATAGTCTAATATTTGGAAAATAACCTAGTGTAGTTTTTTTTTTTACTTTAAATTTTTCTGCAATAAAATCATATTTAACACTGTTTGTTGTTTAATTAACAATTGAAAGCAATTAGTTTTTTTTTAACTGTTGCATACTAAATATTAATCGTCCTCTATTTATATTTACCAAAACATAAGAAAACATGGATTTTAATTAAAGTGACATTCATATTTCAGTGTTCCTATAACAACAATAGCCTTTTTCATATTGTCTTGTAATATAGATGCTAATGATTGTCTAAAGACATCAGAGTTCTGTGGTCCAAACTCTCGTTGCACCAACTCAGTTGGGAGTTACAACTGTTCCTGCTTGAGTGGGTTTACTGTAACAAATATGAATCAACCAATCAGCATCAGTAATCCATGTAATGGTGAGCATGTAGAACATATATTTCATGATGTATTTGATTTATATTGTAAGTAAATTTGACAAATGAAATAATAATAAATAATAAAAAAAAAAAAATCAATTCAATCTATTATATGGTTTGGTGTGTGTTTCTGTCGTTTCTGTTTTCAGCCATGATAAAAGCTGCTTAAATACATAATCAAGTTATTTAAAAAGAAAAAACCTGTTACAAGAAATCCTATTGGCCTGAAAAAAATCATTGTCTGTTAATAATTTTCATTTGTGAACTTTGATTATTGTATTTGTATGTAAAAGGCATTGTTATGATTTTTTTATCTTTTTTTTTACAGTGACTCTACCTTTGACTGAATATCTGATTGAAATTCAGATCAATAGTGTGGATAGTAGCGTCACTGATCAGCTGAGGACTCTTCTGATGTCTTTTAACATGCCCTTCATGATCAGTGACAGCACTAACATTACAGAAATCAACATAACTACTGGTACGAGCTCTGTCTCTGCTTTGTAATATTAAATAGCTAAGATTAAACTTTATACGTCATGAATACTGACATAAATGATTTGATGTTTGGACTCTTCTTCTGCTTTTCAGTGTGTTCATTGAACCAAACGCAGTATCAGTGTAAATGTGAGGGTCTGTTTGTTTGGCCAAATGACACGTGTCACTCGTACGAGGCCTGTGATGTCATCACTAATGGTTCATCATGTACATGTATCAATGCCCTTCCAGTGGATGGACAGTTCTGTCAAGGTGAGACACTGGCATCATTCTAAAACAACATCAGTTTTATCCCTTTTTATTAATTTGTTTTGTTTTTCCTGCTTAGATTTTACTGCATTTTGCTACTAGGATTAACAGACTGATTATGTGCTTGTTTTTGTTTGCAAATAATTCTAAGACACATGGTCTATTGTTGTATGGAGTTTTGTCATAAAGATATTAACAACACATTGATGTTCTTTTAATTTATAATGCTTAGGCTACAAAGAAGGTCATATAAAAAACTGACGTTTTTGTTATTTTAAGAATTTAATTAATTGCACTAATTGTTCGGCTCAAACTGCTTCTGTTTGTTCTTGCAGTACTGCCTTCTAAGTACATGATTGACATTGATGTGAGATTCTTTGACTTGTTCCTGGTGAACTACTTACGGGATCTCGTCAGAAATATCAGCCTACCTTTGACTCTGAGCAGCAGCATAAATATCACAGATATTGACATGACTACTGGTGAGAGCTGAATGTTTCATCAAGTCACATACTAAGATGAGTTCAGTATTAGGACAAATTGACAGTTTGAGCACAGATCAATAAATCCTATTCTATTACAGTGTGTGGGTTAAATGGAACACAATATGAGTGCAAGTGTGAGGAGCGTCATGTTTGGCCCAATGACACCTGCAGGGCCTATCATGAGTGTGATGAGATTGTGGGAGGCACTTGTGGATGTATTCAAGCTCTCCCTTCAGAGGGTCCGCTTTGCCAGAGAGGTAAGAATCACATTAGATCACACATGTACTGATTGTAATTGTAGTAACATGACCAGTATGATTTCACTCAGTGACATTTGACACGTTTTGGTGTTTTAGAAATCTTAACATTATTGCAATAGCTTCTCACTCTTTGTTTTTTTTTTCCAGACATCAATGAATGTGAAGATGCAGTGTCAGTTTGTGGTCAATACTCAGATTGTATTAACATCATCGGGAGTCACATGTGTTCATGCTGGAGTGGATTTAATTCCTCCAATAAAGACAGTCCTGTGAGCCGCAACAACTCATGTCAGGGTGAGTATTATCAACTGATTTTGCCTCATAAAAATGAGAGTGCAGAGCTGCTATATCTTTACAGTTTGTGTGAATACTAGTGTGAGTTTTAGCTGTTCCTGTTTGAGCTGTAACATCACCAAACAAATAATTATTTTTAATTTTTTTAATGTCTTGGAATTATAATATCAATACTTTTGTTTAAATACCAGAAGTCTTTCATGTCTTTTAGACTTTGTACCTAATTTAAAACTGTAAACGTAATAGTTTTATAAATTTTTGCCATTTTCTTTCCCCCATAGATATAGATGAATGTCTGGTCAGTCCATCTGTATGTGGTCCAGATTCCAACTGCACAAATGAAATAGGAAGTTACAATTGCTCATGTCTGGATGGATTCACTGTAACAAACTCAAGTCTCACCATCAGCATCAATAACACATGTAGAGGTAAATCCTAGAATCAGAAACTAATTTAGTCAAATAACGTAGCTTATATTTTGTGCTTTTTTTTCCATTTTTTAACATCACATCATATTTACACAGTACATTGTTTTAATCAGCAATTAAACAAAAAACAAAATTTCCAACTGCTGCATACATAATTTTATTTATCCTTTAATAATCCTTTATATGCATACATACATACATAAATTCATACGTACACTTAATCTTTTTCTGTAATATAGTGTTGATGTTAATGAAAACATAGATTTTAATTAAAGTGACATTCATATTTCAGTGTTCCTATAACAACAATACCCTTTTTCATATTGTCTTGTAATATAGATGTTAATGATTGTCTAAAGACATCAGAGTTCTGTGGTCCAAACTCTCGTTGCACCAACTCAGTTGGGAGTTACAACTGTTCCTGCTTGAGTGGGTTTACTGTAACAAATATGAATCAACCAATCAGCATCAGTAATCCATGTAATGGTGAGCATGTAGAACATATATTTCATGATGTATTTGTTCCCTTTCGTTGTCACTCCGAGTTCCGTCGGATGACGACGAATGGGGGTTTCGCTTAGAAAGCCAATCGACTTCGAGTACTACAAAACGAGCCAATGGCAAAGAAATGCCATGGGTCTGCGGAATTTGCATAGCGTAACTCCGCCTCACCTCGTGGGTATTTAAGGAGAACGCTGGCAGCAAATAGGCATGTTTTCGCTTCGGAGCCAAGTTGATCCTTCGTTCCACAAGCCATTCCTGTACTGTCAGTTCTTCAAGACGAGCGAGATTCTCTGGTGTTGGTGTGACGGCGATCTCCGGCGAGCGCGCACTTCCTGCTTATCTGTCTGTGATTTGACAGCGAGTGTGTTTCTCCCCGGGCGCTTCAACACAGTCAGAGTTTCTTTTCTCTCACAAAAGAGCTTGCACGCGGCACGTCTTTTTAAAGATGCCTCGCCCGTGCACTTCTGGTTGCGGTAGACTCGTTGCCGACTCTGATGGGCACGAGCGTTGCATAGTGTGTTTGGGCATGGATCACGCTAGAGCAGCGCTCGTGGATGACTCATGTTCTCTCTGCGGGAACATGACCATCGCAGCACTACGATCGAGACTCAGTGATCTCGCAAGAGTGAGAGTCCCCTCATCCACACCCCGATCTACTGACTCTAGAAATAGAGCTAGTACTTTGGCTGGTGGCCAGGGTGATCTGAGGGTGACGGTTTGGAACAAAGCGCCGACTATCAGTCCGTGCCCAGCCGCACCCTCTCCAGTGTTGCAACCCGTGAGTGCTCAGGGGATTCCTGAGGGATCATCCTCGGGTGTCCCGCGGGTTTCCTTTGGCGCTCCAGAGGAGGACGCGATGTCTATCGCGGCATCACAAGGTGGGTCTGAATCTTCTGGAAGTGAAGACTCATCACAGCTGCCACCTTCGGGTGTGAGCACAGTTGTGTTAGAGTCTGATCCGGAGATGACGGCCATGCTGTCTCGAGCCGCCGCGAGCATCGGGTTAGAGTGGACCCCTCCGCCCTGCCCCGAGCGCTCGCGGCTGGATGATTGGTATTTGGGTCAGGCTGCGGACCCCCGTCCGCGTCAGGCCCCGATACCTTTCTTCCCGTACATGCATGATGAGATCTCGAAGTCCTGGAGGACCCCCATGTCTTCCCGTGACCGCTCGATGATTTCATCCACCTTTCCTCCCCTCGATGAGGCCGCTGCCCGTGGGTACACTGGGCTCCCCCCGGTTGAACGCTCTGTTGCGATGCAACTGTGTCCTCAGAGCGCTTCTTCTCGTGGTGAGCCTAAGCACTCATCCAAAGCCTGTAGGTACTCGTCTACATTAGTGGCGAAGTCTTACAGAGCGGCGGGACAGGCAGCCACCTCTTTGCATGCCATGGCCATTCTGCAGGTCTACCAGGCCCAGATGCTCAGGGACATGCATGAGGGTAGGACAGACCCAGGGCTCTTCAATGAGTTGCGCGCCGCCACCGACCTTGCTCTCCGAGCGACGAAGGTGACCGCACGCTCCCTGGGTTTGGTGATGTCCACAGCTGTGGTCCAGGAGAGACACCTCTGGCTGAACCTTGCTGATATGAAGGATGCCGAGCGGTCCCGGCTGCTCGACACCCCCATATCACAAGACGGCCTTTTCGGCGGTGCAGTCGAGGATTTTGCCCAACAGTTCTCGACTGCTCAGAAACAGACTGAGGCTATTAAGCATATTCTGCCCCGACGGCCCGCTGCTGCCTCCACCCAGCCGACCGGGCAGAATACTCAGTCTGTTCGCCGCCGAGGGCGCCCTCCTACGGCTCCCGCCCCTCCCGCCCGGCCCAAGCAGCAGCCTTCACCTGAGCCCGGTCGCGGAGGAAGCCGTAAGAAGGCGCCCCAGCCCTCTCCAGCCCCGCCCCCCGCTAAACGCCGGGCCAAGCGGCGCTCCTGAGATGGGCTGCTCAGGGATGATGTGCACTTCTCAGGAGGTGGTAGCAGGACCACTCCTTCCCCCGGTGGAGGGCCGGGGGAGAATCTTTTGTTCTCCACTCCCCGCTGCTCACCCTCGGGTGGGCAGCACCCTTATGTGGTTAAAGAAAGAAGTGACACGTTCATCCCTGAGCACACAGAGTTCTCGGACGACACGGTGCGCCGCCCCCCGGGCCGTGCACCCCTCGTCCTCCTCTGTCCCAGAGCCGGATGACAGTGCGTGCCGTCCCCGGACCGTGCCGCTCTCATCCTCCTCTGTCGCCAGACCCCTGGCAGAGCAGACCCCCGTGGAACGTTCGTCCTTCCCTGGTCTCCTCTGTCAGGACGCGGTCTATGGCTGTACCCCCACACCGGGCCGCTATGCCGTCCACGTCTGGGTCAGCCATACCGCCTCGCTGCCCCACCGACGGGAAGTCTGTGGTTCGCATGACCCCGCTGGTACAGTCCTTGGGAGCTTGGCTAGAGCTTCCCAACCTCTCCTGCTGGGTCGCACGAACGATCAGGCTCGGCTACGCGATTCAGTTCGCGCGGTCTCCTCCCCGCTTCAGGGGAGTCCGCTCCACTATGGTCGGTGGCAATGCCCCTATCATGAGAGCGGAGGTTGCCACCCTGCTGGCGAAGGGTGCGATCGAGACTGTCCCTCCAGCCGAAATGAGGACCGGCTTCTACAGCCCGTACTTCATTGTCCCGAAGAAAACCGGTGGGTTACGGCCAATCCTGGACCTGCGCGTTCTGAACCGCTCCCTTCACAGGCTGCCGTTCAAGATGCTCACCGCCAAACGCGTTTTCGAATGTGTGCGGCACCAGGATTGGTTTGCAGCGATCGACCTTTGGCATACCAGCAGCAAGGTCGACCGTGCCCCCTTGGTGTGACCGCCCACTCCACCCGGAGTGTCGCGTCCTCTTGGGCTTTAGCGCATGGCGCCTCGCTAGCAGACATCTGCAGAGCTGCAGGCTGGGCGACACCTAACACATTCGCCAGATTTTACAATCTCCGAGTGGAGCCAGTCTCCTCCCATGTACTGTCTTTTTCAAGCTAACATGGGACCCGTTAGGTGTCTTCGCTTGCTCGCCATGCCACTCCACGTACTGGATACGTGCGATATTCTCCTCAGGTGAGCTTCCCCGAAAGCCCTGAGCTCCTCCAGCACTGCTGACGCTGGCGCCAGTGTCTATTGCCTGCGCGTCGGCTAGGTGCCTCCGTGTGCATGGTTCCTCCTCTGAGCTACCCCCACATGTGTATTTCCACTGTAAGCCTCTCTGAGCATGTGTCTTTCCCTTGGCAAGCCACCTTGCCACCCCTGGGGTTGAAATATTCCACCTGCGGCTGGACACCCCAGTGATTCCCTATATGCATCCCTCGGGTCATATGTGTATTCTTAAGTCCCCCCCCCCCCCTCTGGGTTGGCAGTAATTGCATACTTCCCTAAAATCTGGGATATGCTCCCCAGTGTACCTTGGTATTCCTGTGCTAAATAGGAATCCTTCGTCCGTGCTGGTTTCACGACAGGGATCTCAGATTTACGCAGGGCACTGGTAGACAGCTGAGAAGGTGGCGTGATTAGACTGGTATCCCCATTCGTCGTCATCCGACGGAACTCGGAGTGACAACGAAAGGGAACGTCTCGGTTACGGATGTAACCCTCGTTCCCTGAGTAGGGAACGGAGACGTTCCGTCTGCCTGCCACTTCCGCTGTACCGCGGGGATCGCCTGAGCTCAGTCTTGGCTCCTCAGCGAAGAAAACATGCCTATTTGCTGCCAGCGTTCTCCTTAAATACCCACGAGGTGAGGCGGAGTTACGCTATGCAAATTCCGCAGACCCATGGCATTTCTTTGCCATTGGCTCGTTTTGTAGTACTCGAAGTCGATTGGCTTTCTAAGCGAAACCCCCATTCGTCGTCATTCGACGGAACGTCTCCGTTCCCTACTCAGGGAATGAGGGTTACATCCGCAACCGAGACGATTTATATTGTAAATAAATTTGACAAATATCAATTCAATCTATTATATGGTTTGGTGTGTGTTTCTGTTGTTTCTGTTTTCAGCCATGATAAAAGCTGCTTAAATACATAATCAAGTTATTTAAAAAGAAAAAACCTGTTACAAGAAATCCTATTGGCCTGAAAAAAATCATTGTCTGTTAATAATTTTCATTTGTGAACTTTGATTATTGTATTTGTAGGTAAAAGGCTTTTAATTTTTTTTATCTTTTTTTTTTACAGTGACTCTACCTTTGACTGAATATCTGATTGAAATTCAGATCAATAGTGTGGATAGTAGCGTCACTGATCAGCTGAGGACTCTTCTGATGTCTTTTAATTTGCCCTACATAATCAGTGACAGCACTAACATTACAGAAATCAACATAACTACTGGTACGAGCTCTGTCTCTGCTTTGTAATCTTAAATAGCTAAGATTAAACTTTATACGTCATAAATATTGACATAAATGATTTGATGTTTGGACTCTTCTTCTGCTTTTCAGTGTGCTCATTGAACCAAACTCAGTATCAGTGTAAATGTGAGGGTCTGTTTGTTTGGCCAAATGACACGTGTCACTCGTACGAGGCCTGTGATGTCATCACTAATGGTTCATCATGTACATGTATCAATGCCCTTCCAGTGGATGGACAGTTCTGTCAAGGTGAGACACTGGCATCATTCTAAAACAACATCAGTTTTATCCCTTTTTATTAATTTGTTTTGTTTTTCCTGCTTAGATTTTACTGCATTTTGCTACTAGGATTAACAGACTGATTATGTGCTTGTTTTTGTTTGCAAATAACTCTAAGACACATGGTCTATTGTTGTATGGAGTTTTGTCATAAAGATATTAACAACACATTGATGTTCTTTTAATTTATAATGCTTAGGTTACAAAGAAGGTCATATAAAAAACTGACGTTTTTGTTATTTTAAGAATTTGATTAATTGCACTAATTGTTCGGCTCAAACTGCTTCTGTTTGTTCTTGCAGTACTGCCTTCTAAGTACATGATTGACATTGATGTGAGATTCTTTGACTTGTTCCTGGTGAACTACTTACGGGATCTCGTCAGAAATATCAGCCTACCTTTGACTCTGAGCAGCAGCATAAATATCACAGATATTGACATGACTACTGGTGAGCGCTGAATGTTTCATCAAGTCACATACTAAGATGAGTTCAGTATTAGGACAAATTGACAGTTTGAGCACAGATCAATAAATCCTATTCTATTACAGTGTGTGGGTTAAATGGAACACAATATGAGTGCAAGTGTGAGGAGCGTCATGTTTGGCCCAATGACACCTGCAGGGCCTATCATGAGTGTGATGAGATTGTGGGAGGCACTTGTGGATGTATTCAAGCTCTCCCTTCAGAGGGTCCGCTTTGCCAGAGAGGTAAGAATCACATTAGATCACACATGTACTGATTGTAATTGTAGTAACATGACCAGTATGATTTCACTCAGTGACATTTGACACGTTTTGGTGTTTTAGAAATCTTAACATTATTGCAATAGCTTCTCACTCTTTGTTTTTTTTTTCCAGACATCAATGAATGTGAAGATGCAGTGTCAGTTTGTGGTCAATACTCAGATTGTATTAACATCATCGGGAGTCACATGTGTTCATGCTGGAGTGGATTTAATTCCTCCAATAAAGACAGTCCTGTGAGCCGCAACAACTCATGTCAGGGTGAGTATTATCAACTGATTTTGCCTCATAAAAATGAGAGTGCAGAGCTGCTATATCTTTACAGTTTGTGTGAATACTAGTGTGAGTTTTAGCTGTTCCTGGTTGAGCTGTAACATCACCAAACAAATAATTATTTTTAATTTTTTTAATGTCTTGGAATTATAATATCAATACTTTTGTTTAAATACCAGAAGTCTTTCATGTCTTTTAGACTTTGTACCTAATTTAAAACTGTAAACGTAATAGTTTTATTAATTTTTGCCATTTTCTTTCCCCCATAGATATAGATGAATGTCTGGTCAGTCCATCTGTATGTGGTCCAGATTCCAACTGCACAAATGAAATAGGAAGTTACAATTGCTCATGTCTGGATGGATTCACTGTAACAAACTCAAGTCTCACCATCAGCATCAATAACACATGTAGAGGTAAATCCTAGAATCAGAAACTAATTTAGTCAAATAACGTAGCTTATATTTTGTGCTTTTTTTCATTTTTTAACATCACATCATATTTACACAGTACATTGTTTTAATCAGCAATTAAACAAAAAACAAAATTTCCAACTGCTGCATACATAATTTTATTTATCCTTTAATAATCCTTTATATGCATACATACATACATAAATTCATACGTACACTTAATCTTTTTCTGTAATATAGTGTTGATGTTAATGAAAACATAGATTTTAATTAAAGTGACATTCATATTTCAGTGTTCCTATAACAACAATACGCTTTTTCATATTGTCTTGTAATATAGATATTAATGATTGTCTAAAGACATCAGAGTTCTGTGGTCCAAACTCTCGTTGCACCAACTCAGTTGGGAGTTACAACTGTTCCTGCTTGAGTGGGTTTACTGTAACAAATATGAATCAACCAATCAGCATCAGTAATCCATGTAATGGTGAGCATGTAGAACATATATTTCATGATGTATTTGATTTATATTGTAAGTAAATTTGACAAATATCAATTCAATCTATTATATGGTTTGGTGTGTGTTTCTGTTGTTTCTGTTTTCAGCCATGATAAAAGCTGCTTAAATACATAATCAAGTTATTTAAAAAGAAAAAAACCTGTTACAAGAAATCCTATTGGCCTGAAAAAAATCATTGTCTGTTCATAATTTTCGTTTGTGAACTTTGATTATTGTATTTGTAGGTAAAAGGCATTGTTATGATTTTTTTTTTATCTTTTTTTTTTACAGTGACTCTACCTTTGACTGAATATCTGATTGAAATTCAGATCAATAGTGTGGATAGTAGCGTCACTGATCAGCTGAGGACTCTTCTGATGTCTTTTAATTTGCCCTACATAATCAGTGACAGCACTAACATTACAGAAATCAACATAACTACTGGTACGAGCTCTGTCTCTGCTTTGTAATCTTAAATAGCTAAGATTAAACTTTATACGTCATAAATATTGACATAAATGATTTGATGTTTGGACTCTTCTTCTGCTTTTCAGTGTGCTCATTGAACCAAACTCAGTATCAGTGTAAATGTGAGGGTCTGTTTGTTTGGCCAAATGACACGTGTCACTCGTACGAGGCCTGTGATGTCATCACTAATGGTTCATCATGTACATGTATCAATGCCCTTCCAGTGGATGGACAGTTCTGTCAAGGTGAGACACTGGCATCATTCTAAAACAACATCAGTTTTATCCCTTTTTATTAATTTGTTTTGTTTTTCCTGCTTAGATTTTACTGCATTTTGCTACTAGGATTGACTGATTATGTGCTTGTTTTTGTTTGCAAATAACTCTAAGACACATGGTCTATTGTTGTATGGAGTTTTGTCATAAAGATATTAACAACACATTGATGTTCTTTTAATTTATAATGCTTAGGTTACAAAGAAGGTCATATAAAAAACTGACGTTTTTGTTATTTTAAGAATTTGATTAATTGCACTAATTGTTCGGCTCAAACTGCTTCTGTTTGTTCTTGCAGTACTGCCTTCTAAGTACATGATTGACATTGATGTGAGATTCTTTGACTTGTTCCTGGTGAACTACTTACGGGATCTCGTCAGAAATATCAGCCTACCTTTGACTCTGAGCAGCAGCATAAATATCACAGATATTGACATGACTACTGGTGAGAGCTGAATGTTTCATCAAGTCACATACTAAGATGAGTTCAGTATTAGGACAAATTGACAGTTTGAGCACAGATCAATAAATCCATTTCTATTACAGTGTGTGGGTTAAATGGAACACAATATGAGTGCAAGTGTGAGGAGCGTCATGTTTGGCCCAATGACACCTGCAGGGCCTATCATGAGTGTGATGAGATTGTGGGAGGCACTTGTGGATGTATTCAAGCTCTCCCTTCAGAGGGTCCGCTTTGCCAGAGAGGTAAGAATCACATTAGATCACACATGTACTGATTGTAATTGTTGTAACATGACCAGTATGATTTTACTCATTGACACTTGACACGTTTTGGTGGTTTAGAAATCTTAACATTATTGCAATAGCTTCTCACTCTCTGTTTTTTTTTCCAGACATCAATGAATGTAAAGATGCAGTGTCAGTTTGTGGTCAATACTCAGATTGTATTAACATCATTGGGAGTCACATGTGTTCATGCTGGAGTGGATTTAATTCCTCCAATAAAGACAGTCCTGTGAGCCGCAACAACTCATGTCAGGGTGAGTATTATCAACTGATTTTGCCTCATAAAATTGAGAGTGCAGAGCTGCTATATCTTTACAGTTTGTGTGAATACTAGTGTGAGTTTTAGCTGTTCCTGTTTGAGCTGTAAGGCAGCCCCAGCTCAAAGGAGGAAGCTGGTAGTCAACGAGGTGCGAAAGCAGGAGGAGAGGATGAGGTGTATAAAGGCCATTTCCCAGGCCAAGCAGGGAGAGTGGATGAGATGGGAGAGTGTGGAACAACGCAAGATGGGCTGGCAAGACCTTTGGTCAATGGAAGAGAGTAGGATCAGTTTCCTCATTAGGTCAACATATGATGTTCTCCCATCACCGCAGAACCTAAACCTCTGGGTAGGAGAGGATCCCTCTTGTCCTTTGTGTTCATCACCTGCCACATTAAGGCACATTTTGACAGGATGTAAGGCATAGCTGCCAACTCTCACGCATTGGCCGTGAGACACCCGCATTTGATTGGTTTCACACGTTCACACGCCACACTCCCGATTTCTCACGCTGAAGTGTCAACCCGGGCGGTCAAATGCCTGGATGAGTTTATCTATATATCTACCTGTTGAGCCACTCGTGATCGACTAGTTATACCGCAAATTCGTTAAAAATCTCCCGTTATCTAGAGCGAGCGTGCATGCGAGACAGAGATTGTGCTCCAAACCGCGTAGAGCGAGCGAGAGACCTTGCGCGCGCGAGCGAGACCCCCCCCGTCAACAAATCTCACTCGTCTCTACCCACCCCCCACCCCCCACCCCCCCCCCCCCCCGTCAACAAATCTCACGCCGAGCAAAACTCAAAAGTTGGCAGGTATGTGTAAGGTGGCTCTTAGCCAAGGTCGGTTTACTTGACGCCATGACCAAGTATTGCGATGTTTGGCTTTAGCATTGGAAGGCAAGCGTAGTATGACCAATAAGTTGCCGCCTGTTCTAGCAAAACATTACACGCAAAAGACAATATTCCTCCGCCCAGGCGAGCAACCACCAAGAAAAGGTGCTAACACCAATTCTCGCCCAGGACAACTGAAAGCTGCTAGGGACTGGAAGATGCTGGCTGATCTTGATCAACGGCTTATTTTTCCACCTGAGATTGCCACCACTAACCTACGACTAGATATTGTTTTGTGGTCTGGATCAGCACGCATTGTTCAACTGATAGAGTTAACAGTGCCATGGGAGGATGCGGTAGATGAGGCATATGAGAGGAAGAAACTGCGGTATGCTCATCTGGCCACTGAAGCAGAACAGCGAGGATGGAGAGTCCAGGTTTATCCAGTGGAAGTGGGTTGTCGAGGTTTTGTGGCACACTCTACAACCCGGTTCCTCAGAGACGTCGGATTTAGTGGCCAAGAGTTGCGTCGCACAGTAAAAAACTTATCTGAAGCAGCAGAAAGGAGCAGCAACTGGCTGTGGTTGAGACTGAAAGATTCTAGCTGGCTGTGTACAGGCCGCCCCGCTACGGTTTCGTAGAATTCTTGAAAACTTGAAGAGTCTGTTGGTTTGTTTGTATAGGTTGTATAGTATTTACGGTCATTGCGTTCCTGTGTATATTGCGTGAATGACGGGTGGTTGGGCAGATATTGTGTTTTGCGGTAGGTGGTATGCCATTATGGAGGACCAACTCTACCATATTTAAAAATAAATACAGAAATAAATAAATGCTCAATAAATAAATAAGCATACAATTAATTGCCCCCAAAAATACAATAAACAAATAAATGTAGGTAGAAATTAAATTATACAGTGAGACATAAATGTATATACCTCTTTTAATTGGCTTCTTTATTTATTTACCTTTGTAATAATTACCTTATTTATTTATTGTCCGTTATAATCTTCAACTTTATTTATTAATTACTTATTTTTGAAGTATTTATTTATGTGCATGTTATAATATTTTTGTCTGTTTTATTCTTCCTTTGTATTTTTTTACTCTATTTATTTCTTCAATGCTATTTATTTCTGCCTGTCGTTTTTACATTTCTGTATGCATTTCTGCCTCATTATGCAAATGAGGAGGGGCTGTGCCTTAAGGGGTCAACTTCTGCCCATTGGTTGGTTAGCATTTTACTGCATCGGTCGAATCTACATGCCACCGGCCACGATTTTTTTTTTTGCAGGGTGGTAGGGGAAGACTCATTAATATTCATTAGGGAACTCATCCCTGATTGTCAAGTTAAAAGATACATTTTAAAGTCGCAGTTTGATGTAAAACTGTTGAGGTATAAGACTGTGAAAATACGTAATTAAAAAGACTACAAACCCAAAAGGCGCACATTTTCTCTCAATGAATGAAGCTAACTTTACTGAAGCTAACGTCTGTCATTTGTTCTATAGTCTTACGTTATAATCGTAACGTTACGCCGTCATGCCTGAGTGTTTTGTACCAGACTGCACACACACGAGCAGGGGATTTCGCTCGTTGTTTCGCCTCCCGGGAGATGTAATTCATTGAGCGATTTTCACATAAAACTAAATGGCACTCTTCTGTTTTATGACAAACTGCGACTTTCTTGACTTTCATAATTATCTTTTAAATTGACAAACATCATATGTGTAATTCAGGGCACAGTTCAGACGGAATAAGAAGATAAGTTGTCTCTCGCCATTGACTACCATACATATTTTTTTCCGAAATAAGGTCCCATCCATGAGCCGGAAGCGGAGGGGAGGGGCTTAGGCTCTCTATGGGCAGAAGTTGACCCCTTAAGACACAGCCCCTCCTCATTTGCATAATGAGGCAGAAATGCATACAGAAATGTAGAAACGACAGGCAGAAATAAATAGCATTGAAGAAATAAATAGGGTAAAAAAATACAAAGGAAGAATAAAACAGACAAAAATATTATAACATGCACATAAATAAATACTTCAAAAAATAAGTAATTAATAAATAAAGTTGAAGATTATAATGGATAATAAATAAATAAGGTAATTATTACAAAGGTGAATAAATAAAGAAGCTAATTAAAAGAGATATATACATTTATGTCTCACTGTATAATTTAATTTCTACCTACATTTATTTGTTTATTGTATTTTTTTGGGGCAATTAATTGTATGCTTATTTATTTATTAAGCATTTATTTATTTCTGTATTTATTTTTAAATATGGTAGAGTTGGTCCTCCATATGCCATATGGAACTGTTGCCACTGAAACGGCATATTAACGCACCAGTGGGGCTCGACAGCCTTGGTCAAACGGGTTGGCGTGTATGGTTGGGTTGCGGAGAGATTGTGAGATTGTGGTTAGGTCTCAGCAGCAGGAGGGATGTAGAGGTCAGTAAGCTGGGCTGAGTTGAGTGGGGGACGGAGGGGGGTGACTCTGGGACGCCAGAGTCACTGTCGAGCCCTCTTGAGGTGTCGTGGGCTAGTCGACGAAACACTGAGGACGGAAGGTGCCCACTTGAAGACCCTAGAGATGTCCCCTACTTGGCTCAATCCAGACGGTTGTCGTGCTGGTCCACTGGGGAGACCACACTGTAGTTGCAGCCGTCATGTGTGCTGACGCGCCGTACACTGCAGTCGTTAACGCCGGACAGAAGGGGAGTCACACCACCATATGGAAAGAAGCGTAAATGGGTGAAGCATAGTTTACTGTAAAGCTACGTCTTAGTGTTGCTTATCTTGGCGAAAGCCGAGGACAAATCAGCATGAAGTTTTAACATCTACTCTCGTGTAATGGAAATCACCAAACAAATAATTATTTAAAAAAAATTTACTGTCTTGGAATTATAATATCCATACTTTTGTTTAAATACCAGAAGCCTTTCATGTCTTTAGACTTTGTACGTAATTTAAAACTCTAAACGTAATATTTTTTTATTTATTTTTTTATAGATATAGATGAATGTCTGGTCAGTCCATCTGTATGTGGTCCAGATTCCAACTGCACAAATGAAATAGGAAGTTACAATTGCTCATGTTTGGATGGATTCACTGTAACAAACTCAAGTCTCACAATCAGCATCAATAACACATGTAGAGGTAAATCCTAGAATCACATATATATATAGTCTAATATTTGGAAATTAACCTAGTGTAGGTTTTTTTTTTTTTTTACTTTTAATTTTTCTGCAATAAAATCATATTTAACACTGTTTAATTAACAATTGAAAGCAATTCGTTTTTTTTAACTGTTGCATACTTAATCTTATTCGTCCTCTATTTATAGTTACCAAAACATAAGAAAACATAGATTTTAATTAAAGTGACATTCATATTTCAGTGTTCCTATAACAACAATACCCTTTTTCATATTGTCTTGTAATATAGATGTTAATGATTGTCTAAAGACATCAGAGTTCTGTGGTCCAAACTCTCGTTGCACCAACTCAGTTGGGAGTTACAACTGTTCCTGCTTGAGTGGGTTTACTGTAACAAATATGAATCAACCAATCAGCATCAGTAATCCATGTAATGGTGAGCATGTAGAACATATATTTCATGATGTATTTGATTTATATTGTAAGTAAATTTGACAAATATCAATTCAATCTATTATATGGTTTGGTGTGTGTTTCTGTTGTTTCTGTTTTCAGCCATGATAAAAGCTGCTTAAATACATAATCAAGTTATTTAAAAAGAAAAAACCTGTTACAAGAAATCCTATTGGCCTGAAAAAAATCATTGTCTGTTCATAATTTTCGTTTGTGAACTTTGATTATTGTATTTGTAGGTAAAAGGCATTGTTATGATTTTTTTTTTATCTTTTTTTTTTACAGTGACTCTACCTTTGACTGAATATCTGATTGAAATTCAGATCAATAGTGTGGATAGTAGCGTCACTGATCAGCTGAGGACTCTTCTGATGTCTTTTAATTTGCCCTACATAATCAGTGACAGCACTAACATTACAGAAATCAACATAACTACTGGTACGAGCTCTGTCTCTGCTTTGTAATCTTAAATAGCTAAGATTAAACTTTATACGTCATAAATATTGACATAAATGATTTGATGTTTGGACTCTTCTTCTGCTTTTCAGTGTGCTCATTGAACCAAACTCAGTATCAGTGTAAATGTGAGGGTCTGTTTGTTTGGCCAAATGACACGTGTCACTCGTACGAGGCCTGTGATGTCATCACTAATGGTTCATCATGTACATGTATCAATGCCCTTCCAGTGGATGGACAGTTCTGTCAAGGTGAGACACTGGCATCATTCTAAAACAACATCAGTTTTATCCCTTTTTATTAATTTGTTTTGTTTTTCCTGCTTAGATTTTACTGCATTTTGCTACTAGGATTGACTGATTATGTGCTTGTTTTTGTTTGCAAATAACTCTAAGACACATGGTCTATTGTTGTATGGAGTTTTGTCATAAAGATATTAACAACACATTGATGTTCTTTTAATTTATAATGCTTAGGTTACAAAGAAGGTCATATAAAAAACTGACGTTTTTGTTATTTTAAGAATTTGATTAATTGCACTAATTGTTCGGCTCAAACTGCTTCTGTTTGTTCTTGCAGTACTGCTTTCTAAGTACATGATTGACATTGATGTGAGATTCTTTGACTTGTTCCTGGTGAACTACTTACGGGATCTCGTCAGAAATATCAGCCTACCTTTGACTCTGAGCAACAGCATAAATGTCACAGATATCGACATGACTACTGGTGAGAGCTGAATGTTTCATCACGTCACATACTAAGATGAGTTCAGTATTAGGACAAATTGACAGTTTGAGCACAGATCAATAAATCCTATTCTATTACAGTGTGTGGGTTAAATGGAACACAATATGAGTGCAAGTGTGAGGAGCGTCATGTTTGGCCCAATGACACCTGCAGGGCCTATCATGAGTGTGATGAGATTGTGGGAGGCACTTGTGGATGTATTCAAGCTCTCCCTTCAGAGGGTCCGCTTTGCCAGAGAGGTAAGAATCACATTAGATCACAGTCAATCAAATGAATATAATGTATTTAATAAAGGAAAACGTCTCAGATTACGTATGTAACCCTGGTTCCCTGATAGGGAACGAGACGCTGCGTTTGAGACGCGGTGGGAACGCTCTGCGTGATTGCGTCATGAAGCACGTGTAAAATCAGTCCAATGGAAGCCCGATACGTCATAGGTGACGTCATAGACCAGGAAACTATAAAGCACCCCTGAAAACAGACCGCGACAGCTTCTGAAAAGTCTGAAGCAAGTCGATCAGGGCATGCAGGAAGTATGGCAGACGAACGCAGCGTCTCGTTCCCTATCAGGGAACCAGGGTTACATACGTAACCTGAGACGTTCCCTTTCAAGGGAACTCGAGCTGCGTTTGAGACGCGGTGGGAACCCCATACCCACTACGCCATAGTGTCAAATGCCCGTTCTGTGTGAAGTCCTAGGCGCACACTAAGAAGCAAGCAACCTAGCCCCAGGTGTGGAGAGGTCAAGGTCATAAAACCTAACAAATGTATGCGGAGAGGACCATCCTGCCGCATTACAAATATCAGGAAGGGAAACACCCGAAATTAAGGCCGTAGAGGCCGCCATACTCCTTGTAGAATGGGCCCGTACAGCCATAGGTGAAGGCTGACCGGCCGCTTCATAAGCCAATGATATAGCCTTGACTATCCATTTGCTCATCACCTGTTTAGATGCAGGGCACCCTCTCCTGAGTGACCCAAAGCAGACAAATAATTGTTCAGACTTACGCCACAGGGCAGCCCTGTGAACGTAGGCATCTAATGCCCGAACTGGACATAACAGGTTCAGTTGTTCCTAATCTGGGATATTAAAAGGTGGAGGTCAGCTCCCTCGAGAACTGACTGTTGGCATGCTCCACTCCCAAACAGCAACAAAAAGCCGATGTGTGTCCCCACCCATGATGTAACGAGGGCAGGGAACAACACAACGTCTATAATCTTGCTTGCTCGCCATAATGATAGATAGTGATATATATTGGGCTTGACAAACAACAATAAATAGACAAGGACAGAATCACAGAGAGCGCTTGCTGAAGACAACAGAAGCTGTCGCGGTCTGTTTTCAGGGGTGCTTTATAGTTTCCTGGTCTATGACGTCACCTATGACGTATCGGGCTTCCATTGGACTGATTTTACACGTGCTTCATGACGCAATCACGCAGAGCGTTCCCACCGCGTCTCAAACGCAGCTCGAGTTCCCTTGAAAGGGAACTACGTATACAGGTGAAGTAAAGTTACACGGAATACATGTATATACACGGGTTAAAGCAACAAACAATGAAAGATAATGAAAGTGAAAGAAAAAGGAAGTGGTCAACAGTATGGCAAAATCACAGAGACAGGAACCTTGAGACAGAGAGACACCAAGATATCGAATTATAAACGCATTAAAGCTCGATAAAACGAATACTTGCATATGGTTCTCTTATGTTGCTGAACAAGGCTGCGTGAGTGATAGTTCCTTCTGAGCGTCGGACGCTCTCCGAGGTTCTTCCGGTGTGCGAAGGAGCAGCGAATTCAAAGGTCTCTTGAAGTGAAGTTACTCAAAGAAAAATAATTCAGGCTACGTTCATTCCACTCATCTGTGGAAATGAACAAAGTAGAATACGAAACAGGAAACAAAAGAAAAACTAAACTAAGGGACCGATGAGAAGATCTTGAAGAGCGTCCAAGAGATGAAGAAGGAAGAGATGAAAAGCACTAAAGACTGAAGACGAGGAGGAACTGGCGTTCCATACTTTTGTGGAAACCGGAGTTTATACCTCTTTTGGGGTGAACGGCCAATCTCCTTTAAGGATTTCGAGAGGGAAACTTTTTCTTTGTCCTGTCACAGCCAACTCATCTGCATAGTTTATGACATTGCTAAAAGATGTAATTTCTAACCAGAAAGCTGTTGTGCATAGAATAATACATTTTACTGTAATTTCCTGTATCTGGTTAATTCAGTGAGACTAAGCGGATTACAACGGTACCAAATAAAACATGAAAAAGAATTACAAAGATACAGCTTACGGCATAATTACAAGCACTTAAGAGTTCCACTGATACACTAGAAAATCATAACTAGACTAATATGAACTGGTAAACATGCAAACATACAGGAATATATCGTATTCTTTCCAGAATTAGTCAAATTATAGATTTCAATGAAGGGTTTGTGTGTGTGCGTTTTGGAGGGAGCTTTTCTTGGCCACCTGGCATTGCTCTGAGGAGATACTGATCTCTTTGAGGCTTGAACCCATGGCTGGGTGTAAACATTTGCATGCCATAAAGGTGTCAATGGCAATTTTAACGCAGACTCGGTGGTGCCAGAAGACGAGAGAGTTGGATAAGAGTCAAATGGTTAAAAGCATTTTCACATGTAGAATTGAATGAGTCTAAACTGACACAGTCCAGATACACTACAAACATGACCAGAATGATTTTACTCAGTGACACTTGACACGATTTGGTGGTTTAGAAATCTTAACATTATTGCAATAGCTTCTCACATTTTTTTTTTTTTTTTCAGACATCAATGAATGTGAAGATGCAGTGTCAGTTTGTGGTCAATACTCAGATTGTATTAACATCATTGGGAGTCACATGTGTTCATGCTGGAGTGGATTTAATTCCTCCAATAAAGACTACAACTCATGTCAGGGTGAGTATTATCAACTGATTTTGTTTTCCATTTTTATCTCATAAAATTGAGAGTGCAGAGCTGCCATATCTTTACAGTTTGTTTGAATACTAGAGTGAGTTTTAGCTGTTCCTGTTTGAGGTGTAACATCACCAAACTAATTATTTATTTTTGTCTTTTCCATCCATGCAATTATAATGTGCTAGTGCAATGCCCGTGCAAAATCTGTTTTTGTGTGTTTTTTAGTAATTGTTGGTTTGGTGTGTTTGAGTTGCTGAATAGCCTAGGCTAATTTTACACAGGAGCCTAAACTCAGCTACACAGTGAACTCCGAGAAAACGCTACGCTTGAGCAAACAGTTTGTGAATAGGCTACTACAAATGATGGCTGTGAATAAAATATAATATTCAGATATTTTTAAACCACAACCCTCTAATGTCGGAATGTTTATTTTGGGGAGTGGCCACTCAGTGTGCAGTGTGAGCCAGCGGCTAGAGCGGCAAAAGCCAATGTGTGCTTCTTTTACTGATATATTTACTGATATCTTTTGCATTTCTAATCCAAACAACGTCAAACTTGGCACTGCACTTACTCGTGCCCGTGGCAAGACACCTGTCAAGTTTGAAATCCATCGAACTAACGGTTCGAGAGATGTGTGGTTAACAGACAGACAGACACACAGACACACACACACACACACATATATATATATATATATTATTATTATTATTATTATTATTTTATTTTTTTAGTTATTTTGTTAATATAGCTACTTCCAAAATCTGCATTTTTACCTTGAAATGTACAGATAACGACCACAATAATACTGGTGTGGTGGCACAATAGAAAGTCAAATGATGAATCAGAGTTCATCGTAAGTGGCCTTTTCATTAAACATGGTCAATAATCGTACAGTGCACAGGGTCATACACACAAAGACAAAACACCATCAGGATAACACATATGACACCAAAAATAATGCAATAAACATTAACTAAATAACATAACAATAACAATAACATGTAACAAAATACACTAATGTACATTACTGATAACAAAAATAAGAAGAAATAATTTATAAAAATTGTAATCATATGTGCTGTGTACTACTAGGACTTCTGTGAATGTCCTTACTGTTTTGTTTTTTTACTGTAAATTGGGTTTCACTTTATTTTGATGGTCCTTTTAACACATTCTGTTGACTATAAGTAACGTTGCACCTACATGTCTACTAACTCTCATTGAGTGTTAGTTGAGTATTAATAGACTGCAGGGTTAGGGTTAGATTAAGTTGACATGTAGTTACAAAATTACTTATAGTCAGTAGAGTGTCTGTTGAAGGACCATCACAATAAAGTGTTTGCAGATATTAAGCAAACAGTCTACTAATACTCTGATGAGAGTTAGTTAACATATAGTTGCAAAGTAACTTATAGTCAACAGCATTTTCAAAAGGGACCATCAAAATAAAGTGTTACCGTAAATGGTATGGTAATTCATTGTTTTAAAAATTACTTATAATGTGATGTTAAACCATTTACAATTCTGCATCATATATGGTAAAAAAAAGCATTTTTAGAGTATTTTTTCAGTAAAAATTAAAGACATTTTTTACAATGTACAGAAATGCTAGTTTGTACATTTTGTCTTGAATTGTAAACTTGCACAGCATCTTATTTTCAGTGTTTCCTACTTGGGACATAATTTTTGACCTTCATATACTACAAGAATGAGTGATTCAAGTTAACTATCTTTTTTCTTTTTCTGTATATTCCGTTTACTAAAGATGTGGATGAATGTGTTGAAAGATCAGAGGTCTGCGGTCCAAACTCAATCTGCAACAACACTGTTGGGAGTTACAATTGCTCGTGCATGAGTGGATATAATGTAACAGACCCAAACCTCACTATAAACAGCAATAACACATGCAAGGGTATGATTGACGGATCATTAATTATTTTATGTCAGATATTATTGAATGTTTTGACTCACCATAAGTGTTTGGGCTGAACTCTTACTGTTGTAATTTTAATTGCATGAAATAAAACTGTTTTTAAATAAATGCTTGTTATAATAACATTGTGTTTTCCCCCATAGATATAGATGAATGTCTGGTCAGTCCATCTGTATGTGGTCAAGATTCCAACTGCACAAATGAAATAGGAAGTTACAATTGCTCATGTTTGGATGGATTCACTGTAACAAACTCAAATCTCACCATCAGCATCAATAACCCATGTAGAGGTACAGTTTATATTCAGATTTGTTTACTCTAACTTTTTGAATAATAAGCTAGAGTTTTTCCATTTTATTTATATTCTTATTATTTATTTGGATGAGTGACCCAAACTGTTCTTTCCCTCGAAACTTCCTTTTACTAAAGATGTGGATGAATGTGTTGAGAGATCAGAGGTCTGCGGTCCAAACTCAATCTGCAACAACACTGTTGGGAGTCACAATTGCTCGTGCATGAGTGGATATAATGTAACAGACCCAAACCTCCCTATGAACAGCAATAACACTTGCAAGGGTATGATTGACGGATCATTAATTATTTTATGTCAGATATTATTGAATGTTTTGACTCACCATAAGTGTTTGGGCTGAACTCTTACTATTGTAATTTTAATTTGCGTGAAATAAAACAGTTTTTTTTTTTAAATGCTTGTTTTAATAACATTGTGTTTTCCCCCATAGATATAGATGAATGTCTGGTCAGTCCATCTGTATGTGGTCCAGATTCCAACTGCACAAATGAAATGGGAAGTTACAATTGCTCATGTCTGGATGGATTCACTGTAACAAACTCAAGTCTCACCATCAGCATCAATAACACATGTAGAGGTACATTTTATATTCAGATTTTTGTGTTCTCTAACATTGAATAATAAACTGGATGTTTGTTGTACATCATTAGTCTAATTAATTTTATAAAAAAAATAGCAAACATGTTTTTAATGCTAACATTATAAAGGTTTAGTGTTTCCTACTTTGAATAAACAATTCTAAATGGAATATTAGATTGTAATGTTAGCCATTTAATGAGTTGACCCCCACATTCTGTACCAGTGAATTAAAGAGGATCTGTTATTTTTTTCTGTATTTTTCTTTTACTAAAGATGTGGATGAATGTGTCGAGAGATCAGAGGTCTGTGGTCCAAACTCAATCTGCAACAACACTGTTGGGAGTTACAATTGCTCGTGCATGAGTGGATATAATGTAACAGACCCAAACCTCCCTATAAACAGCAATAACACATGTAGAGGTATGATTGACAGCTGAAGCTCTGAACATTTTGTTTCTGTTTGAACTGTTAAATTATTTTATGTCTGTAGTGTGTGAGTCAAACTCTAACGCTGCCTTCTTGTGCTATCAGAATTATCGGAAATACGAGTTTACTAATTAAAAATGTGTACATGAATGCCCTCTCAAGTCGTATTTATCACTGGGAAGCTCTGGGATCATTTTGGTATCCAAGTTCCCGAGTTGGTTGTACCATAAGCTTTAAACATGGGGAGGGGAGAACGATTGCAGCTGTGACTGTTATTTTTTATTAGTTTTTCCCACAACATCTTCATCATTTTGTTTTGTTGTTTAAGTACTGCATATTTACAGATATGAATATTCATTTGAAGCATATTGTATGGTATTTGACAGAAATTCCGGAATCTTTAGCAAGCTGACTATCTAGATAGAGGGGAGAATATTTATATAATTGTCAATGAATACGACGCTAAATATCATTTTGGCCCAATAAGATTTTCCCAATCAATAAGCAAGAATAAACCTGGTTTCCTCCATGATTCCTGTTCTTTCTGACAACAAAGCACTTGAATGCGAACAAGCTCATAATCATGACTTCAGAAGTTGAAAGTAGAACATTTCCGATAGCCCGTAAAGGCAACATTTCTTTTGTAATTGTAATTGCAGGAAATGAAACATTTTCTTTTTAAATACTTGATTATATTAATAATAATGTGTGCACCCCCCAATAGATATAGATGAATGTCTGGTCAGTCCATCTGTATGTGGTCCAGATTCCAACTGCACAAATGAAATAGGAAGTTACAATTGCTCATGTCTGGATGGATTCACTGTAACAAACTCAAATCTCACCATCAGCATCCATAACACATGTAGAGGTACATTTTAATATTCACATTTGTTTACTCAAACTCTAGCTAATTATTAAAGGTTAATTCATTGTATTTTTATTCTTATTTATTTACATATGAATGAGTGACTCAAACTGTTATTTTCCTCGTAACTTCCTTTTACTAAAGATGTGGATGAATGTGTTGAGAGATCAGAGGTCTGCGGTCCAAACTCAATCTGCAACAACACTGTTGGGAGTTACAATTGCTCGTGCATGAGTGGATATAATGTAACAGACCCAAACCTCACGATAAACAGCAATAACACATGCAAAGGTATGATTGACAGCTGGTGCATTACTGTTTGAACTGCCCTAATCTTCTGTTAAGAGTAACCTTACATTTGATCAACTATTTTATGTCAGATATGTTTTGACTCCCCATCAGTGTGTGGGTTGAACTCTTACTATTGTAATTATAATTGCAGGAAAGGAAACTGTTTTTAAATAGTTGCTTATTTTAATAATATTGTGTTTTACTCCCATAGATATAGATGAATGTCTGGTCAGTCCATCTGTATGTGGTCCAGATTCCAACTGCACAAATGAAATAGGAAGTTACAATTGCTCATGTTTGGATGGGTTCACTGTAACAAACTCAAATCTCAACATCAGCATCAATAACACATGCAGAGGTACATTTTATATTCAGATTTGTTTACTCTAACTTTTTGAATAATAAGCTAGAGTTTTTCCATGTAATTATTCTTTTATTTAATTTTTGTAAACATGTTATTCTAATTTATTTACATATGAATGAGTGACTCAAACTGTTCTTTCTCTCGAAACTTCCTTTTAATAAAGATGTGGATGAATGTGTTGAGAGATCAGAGGTCTGCGGTCCAAACTCAATCTGCAACAACACTGTTGGGAGTCACAATTGCTCGTGCATGAGTGGATATAATGTAACAGACCCATACCTCCCTATAAACAGCAATAACACATGCAAGGGTATGATTGACGGATCATTAATTATTTTATGTCAGATATTATTAAATGTTTTGACTCACCATAAGTGTTTGGGCTGAACTCTTACTGTTGTAATTTTAATTGCATGAAATAAAACTGTTTTTAAATAATTGCTTGTTATAATAACACAATGTTATTATAACAAGCAATTATTTAAAAACAGTTTTATTTCATGCAATTAAAATAACATTGTGTTTTCCCCCATAGATATAGATGAATGTCTGGTCAGTCCATCTGTATGTGGTCCAGATTCCAACTGCACAAATGAAATGGGAAGTTATAATTGCTCATGTCTGGATGGATTCTCTGTAACAAACTCAAATCTCACCATCAGCATCAATAACACATGTAGAGGTACATTTTATATTCAGATTTTTGTGTTCTCTAACATTGAATAATAAACTGGATGTTTGTTGTACATCATTAGTCTAATTAATTTTATATAAAAAAAATAGCGAAGATGTTTTTAATGCTAACATTATAAAGGTTTAGTGTTTCCTACTTTGAATAAAAAAATTCTAAATGGAATATTAGATTGTAATGTTAGCCATTTAATGAGTTGACCCCCACATTCTGTACCAGTGAATTAAAGAGGTTCTGTTATTTTTTTCTGTAATTTTCTTTTACTAAAGATGTGGATGAATGTGTCGAGAGATCAGAGGTCTGTGGTCCAAACTCAATATGCAACAACACTGTTGGGAGTTACAATTGCTCGTGCATGAGTGGATATAATGTAACAGACCCAAACCTCCCTATAAACAGCAATAACACATGCAAAGGTATGATTGACAGCTGAAGCTCTGAACAGTTTGTTTCTGTTTGAACTGCCCGAACCTTCTGTTAACTGTTCACTTTATAAATTATTTTATGTCTGTATTCATGAATTATTGGACTCACCATCAGTGTGTGAGTCAAACTCTAATGCTGCCTTCTAGTGCTATCAGAATTATCGGGAATATGAGTTTACTAATTAAAAGTTTGTACATGAATGCCCTCTCAAGTCGTATTTATCACTGGGAAGCTCTGGGATCATTTTGATATCCAAGTTCCCGACTTGGTTGTACCATAAGCTTTAAACATGGGGAGGGGAGAACGATTGCAGCTGTGACTGTTATTTTTTTATTAGTTTTTCCCACAACATCTTCATCATTTTGTTTTGTTGTTTAAGTACTGCATATTTACATATATGAATATTCATTTGAAGCATATTGTATGGTATTTGACAGAAATTCCGTAATCTTTAGCAAGCTGACTATCTAGATAGAGGGGAGAATATTTATATTATTGTCAATGAATACGACGCTAAATATCATTTTGGCCCAATAAGATTTTCCCAATCAATAAGCAAGAATAAACCTGGTTTCCTCCATGATTCCTGTTCTTTCTGACAACAAAGCTCTTGAATGCGAACAAGCTCATAATCATGACTTCAGAAGTTGAAAGTAGAACATTTACGATAGCCCGTAAAGGCAACATTTCTTTTGTAATTGTAATTGCAGGGAATGAAACATTTTCTTTTTAAATACTTGATTATATTAATAATATTGTGTTTTCCCTCCATAGATATAGATGAATGTCTGGTCAGTCCATCTGTATGTGGTCCAGATTCCAACTGCACAAATGAAATAGGAAGTTACAATTGCTCATGTCTGGATGGATTCACTGTAACAAACTCAAATCTCACCATCAGCATTAATAACACATGTAGAGGTACATTTTATATTCAGATATGTTTACTCTAATTTTGAATAAGGTACAGTTTATCCATGTCATTTTTTGTCATTTTTGTAAACTAAGCATTCTACTTCTCAGTATTCTCAGTATTTATTCAAATTTGTATGAGTGACCCAAACTGTTCTTTTACCTCTTACTTCCTTTTACTAAAGATGTGGATGAATGTGTCGAGAGATCAGAGGTCTGTGGTCCAAACTCAATATGCAACAACACTGTTGGGAGTTACAATTGTTCGTGCATGAGTGGATATAATGTAACATTCCCAAACCTCCCTATAAACAGCAATAACACATGCAAAGGTATGATTGACAGGTGAAGCACTGAGCAGTTTATATTTGTACTGTCTAAATATTTTGTCAAATCAAATGTAACCTTTCTCTTTATCAATAATTTTTTTCAGATATTTATGAGTGTCTCGACTCAGTATCAGTGTGTGGGCCGAACTCTCACTGTTACAATTACAATGGAAGCTTTTCATGCTTTTGTTGGGAAGGATATAACGTCTCAGATGGGAATAAGGCGATTACCAAAAGTAATCCATGCATCGGTAAGTTTGCACTATGTAATATTATCTGTCATGATTGTTGCATAATTTCAGATATGTTGATAATCATTGTTTGTTTAAATAGTTTTTTTATAGAAAATTCTCAGTTGACTTTTCATTCTCCTAAAACAATTCTATATGCATAAAACACTTTGTAAGTCTATGTAGACTTACGTATCTATGATATCAAGATATGATAAGATATGTATCAAATATACTATTTTTATCTTTTTTTAATACTATTTTTATCCAGCACTTTTTCTTTGGGAGATACTGTACGTTTACATTTATTCCAGTTTCTACCTTCTTGATTTATATTCTCCTTTCTATAGACATATGAATGCAATGAGATAACAAATGCATTTCATGCCTTTAGTTGTTAATGTTAATGATTTTTCTTTAGACTATTGCTTAAATATTTTTCCATAGATATAGATGAATGCATGTTCAGTCCATCTCTATGTGGTCCAAATTCCAACTGCACAAATGAAATAGGAAGTTACAATTGCTCATGTTTGGATGGATTCACTGTAACAAACTCAAGTCTCACCATCAGCATCAATAACACATGCAGAGGTACATTCTATATTTAGATCTCTTTGTTCTCTAACATTGAATAATAAACTAAATATTTTTGTGCACCGTTAGTCCAATCAATTTGATTAAAATAAATAGCAAATATGTTTTTAATGCTAAAATTATGAAGTTTCAGTGTTTCATACTCTGAATAAAATATTCTAAATGGAATATTAGATTGTAATGTTAGGCAATGAATGAATTGACCTTACATTTTTCTGTTTGAGTGATCTAAAGACGAAACGGTAACACTTTACTTGAAGGGGTGTGCATAAGACTAACATGACACCTTCATAATCATGACATGACACATGTTATGAATATGAAGGAAGTTGTATGCATGTTTATGACAACTGTCATTAAGTGTCATTCACTCAGTTATGACATTTTTAATGCAAATATGACATTGTTTGAGATGTCTTTATGACACCTTGACATAAACAAATACATCATAACCTGTCAGTGTCTTTGTCATGACAACTTGACATTACTAAGACAACACAACCTGTCATAAACATGACATAGCAGATTAATTATCAAACTTAAGAAACCACTTTGGTTAACATTACATTAAACTGTCAGGTGGTTGGTTTTGACATTGGCTGTCATGAAGCCATTATAACTGTTTAATGACAAATTCAATTTGTACCACTGTAGTTGAGGTCACGAAAAATATTCATGACACAGGTATAATGGCTTCATGACAGCCAGTGTCAAAACCAACCACATGACAGTTTAATTTAATTTAATGTCAAGTTGTCATGACAAATACACTGACAGGTTATGATGTTATGGTTTATGTCAAGATGTCATAACAAAGACATCTTAAACAATGTCATATTTGCATTCAAAATGTCATTATTGAGCGAAAGACACTTAATGACAGTTGTCATAAACATGCATAAACCCTACTTCATATTCATGACATATGTCATGTCATGGTTATGAAGGTGTCATGTCAGTCTCATGCACACCCCTTCAAGTAAAGTGTTACCGAGGAGACTGTTATTTTGATGTCTGTAATTTTCTATTACTAAAGATGTGGATGAATGTGTTGAGAGATCAGAGGTCTGCGGTCCAAACTCAATCTGCAACAACACTGTTGGGAGTTACAATTGCTCGTGCAAGAATGGATATAATTTAACAGTCCCAAACCTCCCTATAAACAGCAGTAACCCATGTAGAGGTATGATTGACAGCTGATACTCTGAACATTTTGTTACAATATGTACTTCCTTAATCTTCGGCCAACAATTCACTTTATGAATTACTTTGTTTCAGATATTCATGAATGTCTTGACTCACCATCAGTGTGTGGGCCGAATTCTTACTGTTACAATTACAATGGAAGCTTCTCATGCTTTTGTTGGAATGGATATAATGTCGCAGATGGTAATCAAGCTATTAATAAAAACAACCCATGCATTGGTAAGTTTTTGTTTATTAGATATTCTGAATTGCAATTTGCAAATAAAAATAATTGTCATGTTTTTAAACTTTTGGTCATTGCATAATTTAAAAATGTATTTTTTAAGAGATTCAAAATGTATAGTTTTAGAATAGATTCATGATCCAGATAGATTTAATTTATTTTATTTATTTTATTATTTAAAAAAGATTGGAAAATGTTAACATTACTACTTAATTTGTATACTCATTCTATAGATGTCTTCCATGCCTTTTGGTGTTTTTATCAATCTAATTGTTTTTAAATAATCACTTTATAGATAGATAGATAGATAGATAGATAGATAGATAGATAGATAGATAGATAGATAGATAGATAGATAGATAGATAGATAGATAGATAGATAGATAGATAGATAGATAGATAGATAGATACTGACATATTGGGGTCTCGCCTGGCAGCCTAATCAACTCCAAGTGGTAACAAAACGAGCCAATGAACATTGGCCAGTGAGATTTGCATGCCGAGTCACACCTACCCGGACATACGGGTATAATTAGGACCGGCATTACTCACTTCATTCATATTTTGCTTTGGAGCCGAGCGGTTGTCAAGCGATTGCTGATTTTCAGTAGGGCTGGTCCGAATACCATTTTTTAAGCTGCGAAGGGGGGGGGGGGGAAATAATAATTTTTTTATAATAAACAAGGCTCCAACATCCATTAGTAACAGACATGCGTGTTTATTTGAGCACTCCCGTCAATGAAGCAACACACTAAAGCCTGTAAAGCATTGAAATAAATATCAGTAAATAATGGTAACTTAAATAATATAATAAAGTTAAATATTTTAAAAAACGTTCGTTTTATATTTCCACACAAAGAAATATAAAGTGATATAACCTACCGTTCTGCGCTTTGAGAGGGATGTGGGACACGAGCAGGAAAAAGACCATCTCTTTTCTAATATCTTTGTAGAAGGTCTGATTTTATCTTCCACAAGGGCAAGACATTTAGGCTGTGTTTGATTTTGCGCTGCAAGAGAAAACGAATCTAAAAATCACCTGTGCGTGTGAATCGCGCTTTACAAATAAACTTGACGCGCCTTACCAAGTCTAATAACAAGCACAAACTGTGTTAAAAATAATTCAACGTGCAAGTAAAAAGTTAGTTATCTGTCCTACAGCGTTTTTCTACTTTACCACAGTAAAGAATGCGAATATAATAGGCCTAATTAAAAGCGACCCAAAGAAAGAAACGTTTATAATCCCCTGTGAAAACGGGTGAAACGTGAGTGAAGATTTGAGAAAAGAAACAAGAGATTCCATATCCAGTGGAATAACTAATGGAATATTGTTAAATTCGCTGATAATCGGGAGACTAGATCGCAAAATACAAAGCCGACTAAGCTTAAATGTATGGGCTCACAAACAACTCTCTCATTCGTCATGAATCCAAATGTTTCCATGGCTGCGATGTAACATTTAATTTCTAACCTATTATTTATTTTGTAAACAAAGCTTTGTGCTTCACTCGTGTCATAATATTCATGTAAAACAGTTAAACAGCATTAACATACAAAAAATTGTGTTTTGGCAGACCACCGCCGGTGCTACTCAGCCACCCTAAAAACGGGGAAAAAAGGCTATTACATTTTGTTTCTATTATTCTAGTTTCCACAATGTCAAAGCAACTTAAGCCGAAATACAAGCTCATGCAGTTGTGCCCTCTAGACAGAGAATACTCCATTTGCAGGGAACACTTTAAGAAGGCTAAGAAGAAGCAAATATATTTAAGTAAAGCGAGGTTGGGTTCCTTCAACTGTCCATCCTAATAAAAACGGCTAGGCTATATAAAATAATTGTAAAAAAAGAGTATTGTATTTTGTAGGGATGTATGATGATATCGGGACAACATCGGTATCGGCCGATAAAAGCTTAAAATGACCATCATCAGCATCGGCCGATATGAATATTTCTGCCGATGAGCCTTGCCGATAGGGTGGCATGTTTCCTATGCGCACGTGACGACCGTGAACGAAGCATGAGCGCCAGCAACTTAAACTTCCAACTAGGGGTGTGCGTTTCACGCGTTTTTTGATCGTGGATGATTAAAATGTCTCCACGATCTGCTTTTAAAGAAAAATCATAGTATCGTGCATTCTATCAGTTCAATTCTGGCGCCTTCATCTCAACATACTGTACAACGCGACGTACATTCACATCACATCACATCACATGTAAACGCAGAGGTAGAGTTACACTCACGGGACACCGCAATTCACAAAAGTTCATTATTTGCATGTGCGTCAAAGTCTTGCTAGTTAAACATGTCATTCACGTGCTGATGCGCTGTTCTAACATGTGCTTTTCTGAGCGCGTACACGCGACACTCACAGGAACTAAAAGCCTGTCACAGCGCCTGCACACTGGACTAATCTTTCGAGTCTTATTGCGCTGATACTGTCAAATACACACAAGGTTTCGTAAACAAAGTTGGTTACGTCTAAAGTGAAAGCAAACAGAGAAAATCTGCTTGTCAAATGCGTGTATATTAGACGCGTTGCGTGCAGTTCTTAAAGAGACAGTAATAATATGCTGCCGCTTGTCCTTAAAGAGATACTGCACCCAGAAATAAAAATTCTGTCATTATTTACTCACTCTAATGTTGTTCCAAACCTGTATTCATTTCTTTCTTGTGCTTAACCCTCTAGGCGCCACGGTCGAGTTTACTCGACAAGATGCGGCACTGAATAAAACGGCCGATTTTGTCAAATTGGGTGTCAAATTTCGTTCGACCTCCCCTCCACTGGATGGCAGACATGTCATACTTCATCCCCGAATCAAAAAAACGTCATGTTTCTATACAAAATGTTCGAGTTAGAGCGCATTAAATCAGTGCGATCAAAAGCGGAGCTAGTGTGCGAGTGAGCCATTTTATCAGATCCTCTCCGCAATCGCGGCGACAGTACTGTGGTGGAGACTTTGTCTAATACCACTGGTCCGTTAGACGAGGTCGAAGTATTCATAGGACAGTTAGGAGGCAACGTGGAGGCAGGGTGTGGAGTCGCAATGACAATGACAGTAGTCCGAGCTGTGCACACTCGGCGCGCGCGCGAGGCAGATCTGGCCGCGCTGCTCGTATCATCTCACTCGTGATCTGTGCGAGTAAGCGTTTGAACTAAACAGGTCTTGTCTTCTTGTGTTTGTGTGTCATATAAATAATATATATGTGCCCCATACATGGAATCAGAGTGCCTATACTGTATTTAGTAAATGGAAAATCTCTACAGCAAAAGGCCAACCACTACATGCATTCGGTTTGTTTCTACCAGTGTTGTGGGTAACGCGTTACAAAGTAAAGCGTTACAGTAACGTAACTACTTTTCGGGTAAAAAGTAGTGTAACGCGCTACTACTGAAAATTTGGTAACGAAACGTAGTTCCTTTTTCAATTCGGCGCAACGTTACTTTCCCCAGGGACAGATTATCTGTCCCTGGTATTTGACAGGAAACCGCGATCGCCATCTCCGTAGTGAACGCCCCAGAGAGAAATGCACATGATGGATTACATAATCAGAGAGTAGCCTATTTCTTTTCGTTTTGAATTGTTTCGTTTAAAGACATTTCAAGCTTAAATTCTATACGTTGAGTTTCGGTTAATTTATGATGAGATGCTCCAGTTCACGTGCAATGCAAGTGACCACGCCGGCGCTTCCATGATTATATTGTCTCCTATATTTGCTTCTTACTTGCAGGCATTTGGTTGATAAAAAATTGATTAAAATTAAGATACAATTTATACAAAACGAAATTCGCTTTAAAGAAAGGCTTTCTTCAAAACAAAACGGTCAAAATCATTTCAAAATCATTTCAAAATCAGACATTGAGTCTGATTGACTCAATGTCTCCCGATATATTGCGCATCCATCTTACTCGCGCTGTTCACTTTTCATAATCAGCATAGATGGAAAAAAAATAACATTATAATATTTTAACAAATATGAAACTAAATGCGCTTATTTAATGGCTACAACACGTAGGCTATAGTAGGCCTATAGACTCTCTATATTGCTGCACATTCATTTAATTCAGAATTTTGCACACATAAGTTGAAAGGCATTTGTTTACGTGCATAAAACATATCTGCAACATTTATCAAGTTCACGGATAATTGTGCGTGCATTTATTAATCATTATGATACTAAAATCATAATAAAGTAGGCTATACTATGTACAAAAAATCAGATGAGCCCAGAATATGAACGCAACGTGTTTACTTACACGTTAAGCATTTTCCTCCCATAGAAAACCATTATAAGAACGCTTAATTTGGCTTAATGCAGATTAGAATGTCCCCTTATTATGTCTAAATAACAAGATAAGTTTTCTTTTTTTTTTCTTCACCATGCGGTTTAGGACTTCCATAGAATACAGCCTGAATATAATTACTTCCAGAAATGATTTTTGGGGGTGCTAACGGGGTGCTTTGGTCTTTCTTGGGGGCTTTCTTTCTAGCCCCTCCCTAGCGCCGCCCATGCATATGCCTATCCATTAACCGGCATTTCTTCATAAATATTAAAATTGACGCATTATGCATTTATGGCATTATATATGGCATTATGCATAGTAGAACTTTATGTAGGCCTACACATTTAGGAACAGATATTGGGTTCTGCCCAAAGTCAAGCAACATAAAAGTAACGTAAAAGTAACGAGTAACGTGAAAAGTTACTTTCCATATGGGGTAACTAAGTAAAGTAACGGATTACTTTTTTAAAGAAGTAACGAGTAACGAGTTACACTACTTTTAAAAAGTAACTTCCCCAACACTGGTTTCTACCATTTATTAGTAATGATTTACACAGTTTGTTTACTACTTACTATATACCTGAGCATTCAGTATTGTGCAATATAGCATACAGAAGGTGATGGAAATTTTTTGGGGAAAGATGTGCTGCATTTTATCATTTAAACATGTGACTTTTCATGAAAATTCTATAATCCAAGATTGCCACCACCATATGACGTCATAATATGCAAATTAGATGGGAAAATGTAATCCCTACATAAACTTTGGGTCATCCTTAATATTTCTCTAATTTACAGAAAGTCTCTATCTTTTAACACTTTTAAGTTATAGCCTTTGAAATTAAGATGTCAAAATCGAACGTTTTAGTAAAAAACCTCTGGCGCCTAAAGGATTAAATATACTATGGAAGTCGCTGAAGTACAGCAACTGTTTGGTTAGCCACATTCTTCCAAATAACTTTTATTTTCAACAGAAGAAAGAAACTTGAGAGAGTAAATGATGACAATTAAAATTTTTGGGAGAACTATCCCGTTAATGTTAATAAAACAACAAAACACAGAGGAAATCACTCACTGCTCTTGACTGAGAACTTTAATAGAGGCTTTAATAAACTTTTTTTGCACTTAAAAAAAAATACAAATATATCGGTATCGGTATCGGGCAAAATTAGTTTGAAAATATCGGCATATCGAATATCGGCCAAAATCCTATATCGTGCATGACTAGTATTTTGCAGTATTGTATTTTGCATTTATAGTGTAAACTATTCAAACGCAAATGAGAGCCGTTTTGAGGGGGATGCCAGGTGTGCAGGAAAAAAAAGAATATTCGAATACCAAAATTGAAAATCGAATACCAACCCACCGAACGAATATTCCAATATACTCTATCTCCCAAGCCGGCCTCTTCGCAACACTGTTGAGGACTTTGCCCAGCAGTTCTTGGGAGTCCAAAATCAGACGGAGGCCATAAAACACATTTTCCCCCGGCGTGACACTGCCACTGAGCCACCTTTGGCTGGCCCCCAGCCTGCTCTTTACTGAGGGCATCCCCCTGCGGCAGCTTTGGGTGCTGGGAAGACCGCTAAACCCGTCAAGCGAGCGTATATCCTGTGTGTCGTTTTATTTCTGTTCGGACACTGGCCCTGTTTTCAGTAAAAGAGACGTTTCCAAATCCTTCTGTCTCCAAAAATCATCAATTGCCTCCTGTGAAATGTCTCCTACTATGACAGCGCCTGTCACCGAATGTTGACTGTTTGTCCGAGTGAGTGAAGGGGGCGTGGCTTATCCATAGGTTAATTATGCAAGTGTTTTGGACATAAATAAGCCAGAATTCTTTTAAAATTCTTTCTCAGTTCTTGTTAACCTTATATAGATACAGATGTCTTTCATGTTTTAGATATTTATATCTGTATGTTATACATTACATTTGTTTTGGTTTTCCCCCCATAGATATAGATGAATGTCTGGTCAGTCCATCTGTATGTGGTCCAGATTCCAACTGCACAAATGAAATAGGAAGTTACAATTGCTCATGTCTGGATGGATTCACTGTAACAAACTCAAGTCTCACCATCAGCATCAATAACACATGTAGAGGTACAGTTTAGATTTGTGTTTAGTCTAACCTTACATAATTATCTATAATTTATCCATATTATATTTACATTGAATTTTGTAAATTGTGCATTGTATTGTTAAGATGACAAGGAATGAGATTAACCTGACCCAAATTGTTCTTTTTCCCATAACTTCCTTTTAATAAAGATGTGGATGAATGTGTTGAGAGATCAGAGGTCTGTGGTCCAAACTCAATCTGCAACAACACTGTTGGGAGTCACAATTGCTCGTGCGTGAGTGGATATAATGTAACAGACCCAAACCTCCTTATAAACAGCAATAACACATGCAAAGGTATGATTAACAGCAAAAGCTCATAGTACAAATTCATGACAAAGAACACGAGTATTGAGAAGCTCATAAATCTTTTTTTTTTTTTTTAGCCCCCCCCCAAATACACTGTTAACTTACCAGTAACATCGCCAATATTTATGTATTCAAAACATAGTTTGAGATGTTAGTCAAAAATCTCAGAGTTCCTCACATTTTCCCTAATAATTAATTTTCATTGCATGTGTTTTTATCCACACGAGCTATGCAAGTGTTTTTTGGACATAAATAAGCCATATTTTTTTGTAATTCTTGTTAATTTTCTTTAAAACAATGTTTTGACAAAGATAAAAGTTTCAAAATCTTAGTTTCCTGGTCTTTTGTGTTTAAAATGTTGATATTGTCCTTTCTCAGTTCTTATTGTCCTAGTATAGATGTAGAGGTTGTTAGACACCAGATGTCTTTCATGCTTGTGTGTGTTTATATTTGTATGTTATACATTACATTTGTTTTCCACTCTAGATATAGATGAATGTCTGTTCAGTCCATCTGTATGTGGTCCAGATTCCAAATGCATTAATGAAATTGGAAGTTACAATTGCTCATGTTTGGATGGATTCACTGTGACAAACTCAAATCTCACCATCAGCATCAATTACACATGTAGAGGTACAGTTTAGATTTGTGTTTAGTGTAACCGTACATAATTATCTAGAATTTATCCATATAATATTTACATTGAATTTTGTAAATAAAGGCAAGGCAAGTTTATTTATATAGCACATTTCATACACAATGGTAATTCAAAGTGCTTTACATAGGATAAAATAAAATAATCAAAACAAATAAGAATAATTAAAACTGAATCTAATTGAAACTGAAACTAAGGTCTGACTCTATAGACACACCAAGATTCCTGACTTGATTTTTAGTTGTTAGACCCCTAGAGTCAAGGTATGCATTCACCTTGAGAACTTCATCTTTGTTTCCAAACGCAATGACTTCAGTTTTGTCTTTGTTTAACTGAAGAAAGTTTTGGCACATCCAACCGTTTACTTTATCAATGCATTGGCACAGGGAGTCAATGGGACTGTAGTCGTTAGGCGATAGGGCTAAGTAGAGCTGTGTCATCTGCATAGCTGTGGTAAGAGATTCGGTTCTTTCTCATTATTTGGCTCATTGGGAGCTACAGGTTGAATAGGAGTGGTGCAAGAATTGAGCCTTGGGGGACTCCGCATGTCATGGATGTCCACTCAGACCTATGGTCTCCTATACTCACACAATAACCTCTCCCTTCTAAGTATGACCTGAACCATTTTAGGACTATCCCAGAAAGCCCCACCCAGTTTTCCAGCCTGTCAAGAAGTATGTTGTGATCGACAGTGTCAAATGCAGCACTGAGGTCGAGTAGTACCAGCACTGATAATTTGCCTGTATCAGTATTTAAGCGAATATCGTTTATTATCTTTATGAGAGCTGTCTCTGTGGTGTGATGCGATCGGAAACCAGATTGAAAATTGTCAAAATATCCATTCAAGCTTAAGAATTTGTTCAGCTGATTGAAGACAACTTTTTCAATGATCTTGCCTATGAAAGGAAGATTTGAGATCGGTCTATAATTGCTTAAGATGGTCTTATCCAGATTGCTCTTTTTCAGGAGGGGGTTGACAACTGCAGTTTTCAGGGAGTTTGGAAAACTCCCAGAGAGAAGTGAGGCATTTACCACTTCTAGGAGATCTGCTTCTAAGCTGTTTAACACACTTTTGAAAAAATATGTGGGAAGTGTGTCAAGGGCGCAGGTTGATGTTTTAAGGTGCTGTACGGTTTCTTCCAAAATTTTGCCATCAATTTCTTCGAAAACAGACATAGTAACTACTTTCTCAGGTAGTGGTCTGATCTGTTTGACCCCAGTGCAACTCAAGGATGAGCTGATCACCTTTCTGATAGTATTGATTTTCTCAGAGAAGAAAGAAGCAAACTCACTGCACTTGCTGTCTGAGAGCATTTCACTGGGAATCTGGCTTGGGGGGTTTGTCAGTCTCTCTACAATAGTAAAAAGAGTGCGTGTGTTGTTTAAGTTGCTGTTTATAATATTCGAGAAGAAAGTCTGTCTAGCTTTGCCTAGTTCCATATTAAAAGCATGGATGCTGTCTTTGTAGATGTTATTGGACTACAAGTTTTGTCTTCTGCCACATGCGCTCTGCTCTTCTGCATTGTCTTTTCATGTTTTGCACAGCTGTTGAGTTTCTCCAAGGTGCTTTTTGTCTACCACTATTTTTCCTGACTTTCACAGGAGCAATATCATCAATTACACTTTTAATTTTTGAGTTAAAAGATTCAAGGAGAAAATCAACAGAGTCAGCAGATATGCTTGGTTTTAAAGATATTAGCCTTCATAAATAGCACACTAATGTTCTCATTTAAGCATCTCTTCTTGACAGACACAGATCTAGCTTCAATGGCAGGAGAGATCAATATATCAAAGAAAATACAGAAATGATCAGACAGTGCTACATCCTTAAATAACAATCGATGAGATGTTTAGACCCTTACTGATAAGTAAATCTAGAGTGTGTCCACGATTATGTGTGGGTCCATGTACATGCTGAGTCAGATCAAAAGTTTTGAAAACAGTTTTGATTTCTTTTGCCATATTGGTTTCTGCATTATCTATGTGAATGTTAAAATCTCTAGCAATGGCAAAACAGTCAAACTCAGAGGAAATTGTTGAAAACAGTTCTGTAAAGTCCTCAGCAAAGGCTGGAGAGTATTTTGGAGGCCTGTAAATTATGATAAGTAAAATACGTGGAGCACCTTTTAACACAATACCCAGATATTCGAAAGACGGGTAATTCCCAAATGATATTTGCTTACATTGATAGACATCTTTAAAAAGAGCAGCTAAGCCCCCGCCTCTCTTTCCCGCTCTGCAAACACTCATAAAAGTAAAGTTAGGAGGGGATGATTCATTGAGGACTGTTGCACTGCTGCTGTCTTCTAGCCAAGTTTCATTTAGAAACATAAAGTCCAGGTTGTATGTGGTTATTAAGTCGTTGACTAGAAGTGATTTATTTTTAAGTGAGCGGATGTTTAAAAGTGCTAACTTAACAGTCTTACTTTTTGTCCCCACAGCGATCTTAGTTTGGCGTGTAATAGGCACCAGATTAGATGGGTTTGCTGTACGGCTTTTGAAGGCCATAGATTTTCTATCATTTAATTGAACAGCAATAGAGAAAGATTCAGGCACACTGGGTTCCCGCTTGTTTTGTAAACATTTAAGAAAGTTACTGTTATCATAGCGGGGACCCGACACGTATCACTGAGAGCTGGTATCAGTTGTTTTTGGTTCACCTCGAGCCGCTGGAGGAGGGTGTGGGCCCTGGCGCTGTGGCAGAGGCCGAAGAGCTCTCACAGGAGGAGGGCGAGCTGGGCCCGCAGGCTTTGGTGGTTGTGGGGCCTGCCGTTTTTTGGTTGACATCTGGGGGCTTGCAGCAAAAGAGTGGGATAGTTTGGTTCCAGCATACACCAGTTGTTCCATTTTCTCAGAGAAGCACAGAAGTGGAGTTGCTGGAGAGAGGGATAACGTGTCTGGTGAGAGGGGCTGTTGCGCTGGTGTTATCGGAGGCTGTAATATGCTGTCCTGGATTTCCTGGCTGTTTTCCAGAAAGTCGTCCTTGGGTGCTGAATCTTCTAGCAGTTCTAGTATGTCACAGTCTGTGGTGAGCTCTGTGGGCAGGGCTCAGCTAAGATTGTGTCCATGAGCAGAGGTTGTTGTGGCTGAGTGGTGTTATCATTGTCAACCACATGTCCATTCAGGTGCAGAAGTGAAGTCCTGTGGTCATTCATACTGTGTCCAGGGGCCGGTTGCACCAGCTGTGCGTAAGTTACAACTTAGCCTAGTTTTGACGTAAATGGGCACTAAGTTACAACTTACGCACTACTAAATATTTTTCCGTTGCACCATTAAACTTAGTTTAAACGTAACTCTACGTTCCAACTAAATATTTACGGCAGCTCCGATCAGGAGTAACGGTTGGAATAAAATATCAGACAGACTGAACTGCATCAATAAGCTCTTCTTTTACCTGACAGACTTCAATTCTTTAGACATATATGATAATGCTGACATTTACACTCGCTTACATTCTAAGAGAGAGAACATTATGTGAAAAGATTACTTTGTTAGCAGCTCTTTAACACGAACCCGTCCTAAACATAGACTGTAAAAAATAGGTCCTAAACAGCGCCGCTGTGTGCATCGGTCCATGTTGTGCATGTCAAATATCAGTCATAATCAATAAACGTAATTTCTTGTTTTTTGTATGAATATTTATTTATTGATCCTTATTAATTTCATTTCAAATACAGTTTCTGAATGTTATTTATATATAAAAACACTTATGTTATTCATGATCAAGTATCGTATTAAATAGAAACTTATTTTTACCGTTAGTAACGTGAGGCAAAAGAAGTTAGAATGAAGGATAAACTGAAATTCACGGCATTTCAACACAACTTCTGCTCACATATTTGAAGGCTGCTATTGGTTCATCGAGGCTAAACGTCATATTATGCGACTACGCATTACTTTACGGAGAGTTTACGACCTACTAGCTAAGTTCTACCTTACAAACAAATGGTGCTACGGAATAAAGTACAGAGTTAGTTACAAACTAGCTAGTAGTTACTAAGCCTCTAGTGTGGACTTTACGTTACAATTTAAGAAAGAAGTTACGAACAGCTGGTGCAACCCTACCCAGGTGTGTGTGTGCCATTCAGGTTGAGTGGATTGGCACACACTGCAGAAGGATGATGGAGGGAGAAGTAGATATTGTCCTTTAGCACTCTTGAACCAAGTTTGTTTGGGTGGAGCCCATCCTGTTGAAACAGTTGCCTCTGACTCCAGAAAAGATTGAAGTTGTCAATGAAGTTCACTCCTTTTATATTGCAGGTTTTTTGCAGCCATGTGTTAAGCCCAAGCAACCGTGAAAACCTGTTTGTTCCTCTTGCTGGGAGTGGTCCACTGATGAATGTCTGAACTTTCAGTCTTTTCAGTGTTTCAATAAGTTCATTGAAATCCTTCTTAAGGAGTTCTGACTGCTCTTTATGAATATCATTCTTCCCCACATGAATGATGAGTCGATTTGCAGTCTTATGTTTCATCAGAATGTTCTGAAGTTCCCTATTTACATCAGAAGTTGTTGCTTGTGGAAGGCAGCATGTAGTTGTGTCCCTGCTAATAATGTTTCTGATTATAGAGTCACCCACTATCAGAGTCCTGGGCTTGGCTGCGCTCTGAGCTGAGTGCCGCTGTCTGCTCGACCTTGAGCGCCAGTTAGCAGTGTTAGCTACTGGCTTATTCAGTCTGTGTTCGATCACATTCATCACATTCAGGGATTCCTCATTCATTAATACTTCAAATCTGTTCTCAAGATGTATAGGCCGTGGTAGGAGACCAGTGTTTGCAATCCTTGTCAGAGCCGTATCTGGGGTAGAGGTTGCTACTGCGGCAATGTGTGATGCTCGTGACAATCTGATGTCTCGAGTGCCTTTGGGTCTCGCTCCCTGTTTGCGCCATCGATTTGTAAGTCGATCGGCTTGTTTCTCTACACTCAGTATGGCTTGTATTGGAGCACTAGATTCATGGGACTCACCGGCTGTATGCTGATGGCGTCCATGATGAAGCTCTGTTGTGTGTTCCGTCTGGTTTGGTGGTCCCACAAGTAACTTTGTTTCAAGAACTGCAATCCTTTGTAAAAGTCTCTGGCATTTAGTGCAGCAAGTAGATTGCCAGAAGAGGCATTTTCTCTTATCCTTATGAATGAAGGCAGTTGTGTTTTCTCTTCCCCGGAATGTAAGCTTTCAGTGAGAGGCTGGTCGAAGAAAAGAATTCAGCTTTTTTCTAGTAAACAAGCGTTTGAGCACTGTGCTGATTTGCTGAAGTTAAAATTAGGTGATAAAAGGAAATAAAATATAAAAATATAAACACGATAGAGCAATAAAAAATATAAAAGCGATAGAGCAAAGCGCGGAGCAGTAAGCAAGAGCGTCCGGACAGTAGCTGAGCAGGAAGTGAAGTCAAGTGAAATAAAGTATTGTTTTGTAGAGATGACAAGGAATGAGATTAAACTGACCCAAACTGTTCTTTATCCCATAACTTCCTTTTAATAAACATGTAGATTAATGTGTTGGGAGTTTTTTGAGGTGTATAATTAATGTGTGTTGGTTTGTTTCTGTTGTACATGCTGCTTTTCAAAGTAATAAGTTGTGGTCGTTAGTGTTTAAAAATATTGATATACTTCCTCAATCCGTATTTTTCTTGTATAGTTATTATGTTAGTGTATTATTTGGTAAGATACCATTTGTCTTTCATGTTTTATGTGTTTATATTTGTATGTATAAAAACTAATTAAAATAATTTTTCCCTTCTAGATATAGATGAATGTCTGGTCAGTCCATCTGTATGTGGTCCAGATTCCAACTGCACAAATGAAATAGGAAGTTACAATTGCTCATGTTTGGATGGATTCACTGTAACAAACTCAAATCTCACCATCAGCATCAATAACACATGCAGAGGTACAGTTTAGATTTGTGTTTAGTCTAACCTTACATAATTATCTATAATTTATCCATATAATATTTACATTGAATTTTGTAAATTGAGCATTGTATTGTAAAGATGACAAGGAATGAGATTAATCTGACCCAAATTGTTTTTTTTCCCCATAACTTCCTTTTAATAAAGATGTGGATGAATGTGTTGAGAGATCAGAGGTCTGCGGTCCAAACTCGATCTGCAACAACACTGTTAGGAGTTACAATTGCTCATGCATGAGTGGATATAATGTAACAGACCCAAACCTCCCTATAAACAGCAATAACACATGTAAAGGTATGATTGGCAGCTGATCAATTATTTTATGTCAGATATTCATTATTAATGTTTTGACTCACCATAAGTGTTTGGGCAAAACTCTTACTGTTGTAGTTTTAATTGCTTGAAATAAAACTGTTTTAAATAATTGCTTGTTTTAATAATATTTATTTTCCCTTTCGAGAATGGTCACTTCGTATTGAGTAGCTATACGCAGTGGGGAAACTCCTTTTCCTCGAAATTCTGAAGCTTAAAATGTAAAACGCATTTTGCAGCTGCACAGCTAGCACATTGAGTGAGAGACTCACTCATTGGCTGTGCTGCGGCAACTGCACATCCAATGGCGCTGGCGGCTCCAACGTGTGCGCCAATGAGCTATCATTACGTCATACACGTCAGAGCCCATAAAAGCCCCCGAAATAGCCATTATAGCAGATTTCATCTCCATCAGCGACATACCTCACGTCTCTGAGTCCTCTGAAAGCTTTGCTGTCGAATCAGGCCCTACGGTTAGAGTGAACATCTCTGCAGCGGATTTCGCCTTCAACTGAGAAGCCGTCTTCCCCTGTCGCCTCTCTGCTGTCGCTATCCGGCGATCAACGCAATATCCTTTTGCTCTTGCTTTTTAGGAACGCGAGCGTTGTTTAAAATGCCTCGCTTGACATGCGCCACGTGCGGCTCTCTCCTGCACGAGGCGGACGGACATGCCAAGTGCGTTGCGTGCCTGGGTTCCGCCCATGCTCAAGCTGCACTTTCTGCTGGGGGATGCTCGGTCTGTGAAGGCATGCCCGTCTCGACGCTGCGGTCGCGGCTAGCTCTCTCGCAAGATGGCGACGCCGCTTCCCCTGCGCTTCCTTTTCCCGCTGTACTTCGGCCGAGGAAAAAGAACCACTTCTTGGGGGGGGGGGGGTCATTTTTCCAAACAAAATTATTACATTTATCTTGCCTAAATGTTTGCGCTCATTGCATTTTTACAATGGGGTAATATTGTTGTTAAAAATTTACACAACACAAGGAAGCTTGATTTAAATTGTTTAATTAAATTGAAAAAAGTAGCACAAATAAATACAATAGAATAAAGATACAAATAAAGAGAAAAGTTTTTGAATAGGTCTAATAGGTATATACCTTGAATAGGTATATACAGAAACTGAATAACATAATCAAATGGAAAATAACATTGGGTACTATTTTAGTCCTGAATAAATTAAATACATAGGCTATTAATCTTGATTCCTTTAACTTAAAGCTATCTTTTGTTGTTTTGACAACAAAATTAATGACAGACACATATGGCCGCCATCACTTTAAGAGCTAGTGCACGGATCCTGTGTTCATTATACTGGAATGCGTTTTATGCTTATTAAAGACAAAACCGACTATGTTTAGAGTGTAGGCTACTCACGAAGACCAATTTAAAGCAATATAACAGCAAATGCAGTTAAAGCAATATAATCCACGAAAAATAACTTTTGTTACTGGCCAGCTGTTTTTGAGTATACTGGATATGCTGTCACGGGGCAACACTCCCCTAGGCGAGTGGTCCCTGAATCCTCAGACGGTGTGCCTTATATGGGAAGTATTTGGCGAGGCCGAAATCGACCTCTTCGCCTCAAGGAACAACACTCATTGCGCAGTGTTCTTCTCGAAGGACAGGGATGTTGGCCCAACCCCCCTCTCTATGCATTTCCCCCGTCTCAATGATACCCCAGGTTATCGAACGGGTCAGGGAGAGCGGATGCCCAGTCCTCCTGGTAGCCCCCCTCTGGAAATCCAGACCGTGGGTTCCGGAGCTGGTTCAAATGGTGGATAGAGTCCCTTGGCCTGTTCCATTGAGGAAAGATCTCCTCACACAGGCGGAAGGGACGGTATGGCATCCACGACCCGATTTATGGCTCTCCATGTGTGGCCCCTCAACAGGTACCCGGGGACCTCCCTGAGAAGGTCCTTAGCACGATCAATGAAGCCAGGGCCCCTTCTACCAGGCGCTTGTATGCTTCTAAATGGTCAGTGTTTTCCAGCTGGTGCCTGGATAAACGGTTTGAACCCATGTCATTTGAGGTACCTGTGGTGCTCTCCTTCCTGCAAGAGCTGTTTGACGCGGGTAGGACCCCGTCTATGCTCAAAGTGTATGTGGCAGCCGTCGCAACTTATCATGCTCTGGTGGCTGGCCGATCGCTAGGAAGAAATGACTTGGTGATACGGTTTCTAAAAGGAGCCAAGAGACTGAACCCCTCCGGACCTCCGTCTGTTCCGTCTTGGGACCTCTCCACAGTCCTTAGGGCCCTGAAAGGCCCACCATTTGAACCGCTCCAGTCAGTTGATCTCAAACTACTCTCGCTAAAGACTGCTCTCCTGCTGGCACTGGCATCTATCAAGCGAGTAGGAGATTTGGTGGCGGTTTCTGTGAGCCCCTCCTGTTTGGAGTTTGGTGTTGGCGACTCGAAGGTCGTTCTTAAACCCAGACACGGCTATGTGCCTAAGGTGCTCTCAACTCCGTTTAGAGCACAGGTGATAACTTTATTAGCCCTTCCCCCTTCTTCAGAGGATGGGGAGGCTAATCTACTCTGTCCTGTCAGAGCACTGAGAATATATCTGGAGCGTTCAGCATCTTTAGACAATCAGAACAGCTCTTTGTCTGCTTTGGTGGCTGGTCCATAGGGTCTCCCGTCACAAAGCAGAGGATATCCAGATGGATAGTTGATGCTATTTCTCTAGCATACACCTCAGTGGGTCAGGTTTGCCCTATTGGAACTAGAGCTCATTCGACCAGAGGCATGGCCTCGTCTTGGGCTTGGTCTTCCTGGTTTCCCATTCACGATATCTGTGCGCCTTCTACGTTCGTGAAATTCTATAACATGGAGGTACAGGTACATGCAGGCAGGGGTCCTTTCTGTATGATTTAGACCCGACATCTGTCTGGTCTTATCCACATGATATGTCAATGTCATAAGCACACATTCATTCATTATAAAACCAGCCTCTGGCTGGTTATCTTATCCCTTTATTTAAAGACCCTTATCTTATCCCTTTATTTATTTTCTTAAGTTATTGGGTTAAACATGGATGTATGGACATTAAATTTATATATGGGTATATTTTGAGGCCCGACGGTGTCCGGTCTCTTATTATATACTGGTACTGGCTGGTTCTGTAGGCTCAGAGTTCTCAAGCTGCAGTTTCAACCTGCTACTCGGTGCGGCGTTTTGCATGGCGTCCCCACTGTGTATAGCTACGCAATACGAAGTGACCGTTCTCGAAAGGGAACGTATTCGGTTACAAACGTAACCTCGGTTCCCTGAGAGTAGGGAAAGAGTATTGCGTAGCCGGCCGCACTGAGTAGCATGGCAGTATGTCGCTTCAGTCGATGTAACCTGCTATAATGGCTATTTCAGGGGCTTTTATGGGCTCTGGCCACGCCCCTTGTGGCGGGCTCTGACGTGTATGACATAATGATAGCTCATTGGAGCACACATTGGAGCCGGCCACTCCATTGGATGTGCAGTTGCCGCAACACAGCCAATGAGTGAGTCTCTCACTCAATCTGCTAGCTGTGCAGCTGCAAAATGAGTTTTACATTTTAAGCTTCAAAATTTCGAGGAAAAGGAGTTTCCCCACTGCGTATAGCTACGCAATACTCGTTCCCTACGTTGTTTTTCATGGCAACGGTGTGTTATACTTAGCAGCGGTCTGTTATTAGGAAATAACAGACCTCATTCTACATTAGAATTCAACCAAGCCATGTAATAAAAACAACCGAGCTAACAGAGCTACGTAAACAGAGCGAACATGAGAGCATCCGACTGCAGACGTCAATAATGCAGCGTAAAGGAATAATCTCCCGATCAAACTCCGCTTCCCGAAAGTTATAAACTGCCTCCGGAACCCAGTTAAGGTATAAAATTCTATAAAAAAAATAGTGATGCAGTTAAGTGTTTTTTTTTTTAGTACTAGTGGTGGAGCCGAACCCGAATACGGTATTCGGAAAGGCACAAATAACGTGTTTTTTACGAATACTTATTTCGAACAAATACTTTAAAAAATATTTGTATTCGGTAACAAGAAAAACTTTATATCAAAAAGCTGCGTTTCCTCACAAGACCTGCAGTGCATGCCCGGATGAGTGAGTTAGAGTGAGTGAGTGAGTGACGTTCAGGAAGAGGTGACTGACACAGGCTGCTCCACACAGCAACAGACATAAAATTTACGCTCGGCTGAGCGAAAAAACACTTAACTGCATCACCAAATTTTTTTATAGAATTTTATACCTTAACTGGGTTCCGGAGGCAGTTTATAACTTTCGCGTCGGGCTCATAATCAACGCTATTGAGAATGAGAAGGTGACGTCACGCGTATCACTCCGCGTTGCATTGTGGGAAGGATTCGCCATCTTGGTAGGATACGCTATCCGTTGTCATGGTTACTTCGACCGTGAGACCGAGAGAAATAGCGACAGAGAGAGAGAGCAGCTTGATATTTGTTTGCATTTTTGCGATAAGGCACAGTTTCTTGGGAATAAATGAAGAAGGGGGAAGCAAAAGGAAAGGGGCTCTATCGGGAGAGACTAAATAACAACACCAAGCAGCGTTATTTAGAGAAACTACTTGACATCAACATGGACCGTACGACCTGCTTCAGAATGGACGAAAGACCCAAAGCACTACCACCTTTCACATACGCTGACATAGTTAATTACCTGGTTTGTTTATGGTATCCGTGACTAACGTTACTGCCTACACAATGCAAGAGTTCAGAAGGTTTAAGTCATTAGAAGCTGAACAAGTCTGCTGCAGCTGGGTGCAAGACTTAGAAACCCCCAAACCTGTAACGTTAAACTGCGATAGTTCAGTCATACTTGATGTTTCAGGCCTCATTCATATGTGGAAATAAATCTGATATGAATCAGATACGTGCATTTGCACCTGCCGTGCAACGTTAAGCGAACAGTTCGGACATTCCCGTCAATGCGAATCGTACGTCATTAAAAAAAGTGTCTTTTTAAAACATTTCGCGGTACAGAAATATATCTATAACAAATGAAACAACTCTAGATGAATAACAGAGTATTAATTTCGTTCGTTTGTGTTAAATAAAAGGCGAACTGTGCTGAAATGTGTTGCTTTTGAAAGGAGGCTTTGCTCGCACTTGCTGCTGTCAGTTTATTGAGAAGCAGTTTCTCTAAGCTGGCTGCATTGTTATTTAGTCTCTCCCGATAAAACCCCTTTCATTTCTCTTCCTTCTCCATATCTTCCAGAGAAACTGTGGCGTATCAGTAAAATGTAAACAAACACTAAGCTGCGCTATCTCTCTTTCGCTATTTCTGGAATGTTTTAGTCGCGCCTCTGTGAAGTTCTGAAGGCGTTGCCCCTGGCAACCGATAGCGTCTCCTACCATCATGGCCGACCGGCTCAGACCCCGCCCAAATCGGCACATGACTCCTCACTCTCAATAAGTTACATTATCCCATTCTGTCTGATCAGCGTCCTCCAACAAGGACGGGTGGTGGTGGGGTTCATAATGTTCACAATGGTATTTTATTCGTTGTTGGTTTAACCATGGATGAGGTAATGGCTGTTATGTTATTTCCTTTTCAATGACGTACTTGTTACATTTTCGTTGCTGGATTTATAGAAAAACATAAACGAATATTGCATATCCATAATTATTATAATGGATATAATTAAAGAATACTTACACTATAACGTAAATTAGAAGTGTAATGCAAAAAAACTGGATTTTACGCCTATTTTGAATTTTACTTGAATACAAATACAAATACTTTTCCCCCCTCAACAAATACAAATACAGATACAAATACCGGCTGCTTTGCACACCCCTAGTTAGTACGTAGTTATTACCCAGTAATTATAATTACTATAATAAGTACATAGTAAGTTTATGGGTAACAGGACTGTAAAAGGAAGCATTACCGATTTGTGTTTAGTCTAACCTTACATAATTATCTAGAATTTATCCATATAATATTTACATTGAATTTTGTAAATGAAGCATTGTATTGTAAAGATGACAAGGAATGAGATTAAACTGACCTAAACAGTTCTTTTTCCCATAACTTCCTTTTAATAAAGATGTGGATGAATGTGTCGAGAGATCAGAGGTCTGTGGTCCAAACTCAATCTGCAACAACACTGTTGGGAGTTACAATTGCTCGTGCATGAGTGGATATAATGTAACAGTCCCAAACCTCCCTATAAACAGCAATAACACATGTAGAGGTATGATTAACAGATGAAGCACTTAGTGCCAATAAATTCATGACAAAGAAAATGAAAATGAATTTATTTTTATTATTATTATTATTTTTATTTATTTCTTTTACAAATGAAGTGTTAACAGTAAAATTGCCCATGTCTATGTATTCTAAAATTAAATCTGAGATGTTGCTTAAAACTGGAAATGTTTTATTGTGGAGGTCTGTTGTGTGAAGATTCACAAAAAACTCCCCACATTTCCCTAATAATTATTTTCATCTCAGACATTTAATGTTATTGTTTTCATCACGCAGGAGTTATGCAAGTGTTTTGGACATACATAAGCCAGAATTCTTTAAAAATTTGTTCTCAGTTCTTGTTAACCTTATATAGATACAGATGTCTTTCATGTTTTAGGTATTTATATCTGCATGTTATACATTACATTTGTTTTTTGTTTTTTTCCACTCTAGATATAGATGAATGTCTGTTCAGTCCATCTGTATGTGGTCCAGATTCCAACTGCACAAATGAAATTGGAAGTTACAATTGCTCATGTTTGGATGGATTCACTGTAACAAACTCAGATCTCACCATCAGCATCAATAACACATGTAGAGGTACAGTTTAGATTTGTGTTTAGTCTAACCGTACATAATTATCTAGAATTTATCCATATCATATTTACATTGAATTTTGTAAATGAAGTATTGTATTGTAAAGATGACAAGAAATGAGATTAAACTGACCCAAACTGTTCTTTTTCCCATAACTTCCTTTTAATAAACACGTGGATGAATGTGTTGGGAGTTTTTTGAGGTGTATAATTAATGTGTGTTGGTTTGTTTCTGTTGCACATGCTGCTTTTCAAAATAATGAGGTCGTATGTGTTTAAAAATGTTGATATTGTAATGACCCGGCAATCGGGTGCATTATGGGTAATTGTTAATTTGGAGTTGATTTATGCGTTAAGCAAGATGGTTGGGTTTTTGTGTTAGCAAAGTTACGTATGTTTATGTTTAAGTTATTTTGGGTGTGCTTGGTTCATTTATTGCCTTGTTATGTAAAAATGTGTCTCTCACCGTCATGGAGAGAGATGCGTAAGGGAGTGACTTTTTTCATGGGGTCTTACCTGTGTTCGGAATAAAAAGGAGAAAGAAGACGGTACTGCCTCCTGCTGGCATGCTTTACCGATGCTCCACTCCCTACTGTGGGGCACTGTGGGTTTGCCAGAGGACTGTACCTGGACTGTGTTGTTGACAGGCAGCCATGCAGCACCCTGGTGGATACAGGGTCCACCATTTTGCTTGCTACGAAAAGGACTGTTGTCAGGAATGGCCGGTCCTCTTCCGGAGGACTGGACCCCTACCAATACCAAACTGCTCACTGTCACGGGTGAAAGGACAGTAATGCCTGGGAAGAAGCTGTTTTCTGTGGTGGTGGGGATGAGCCAGATGAGCCACGAGTTCTGGCTTGCCGATATCAGCGATGAGTGCATTGCTGGCTTGGACTTGATGGCTCTCTGGGGAGCACGTGTCGATGTGTCAGGGGCCGCCCTATGCCTAGGTAACGGGACTGTGCCGCTTCGATTGGGCTGGAGCCATTATGGAGAAGCCGCCGCCGCCGCCGCCCAGACATCAGCGCTCGCCGGCTCCGGCGCCCAACCGCCATACGAGAGCTGCAGAGACTGAGGGGGAGCCCCGGGGGAGTATTGCAGCCCAGACCAGTGCATCTCAGCCACCACTACTGCACGCTGCATTGGATTATGTAGCTGGATCCTGTTGGTTCAGCTCATTGGACTTTTCACAGCGGTTTTTGGCAAGTGGAGCTGGCGACAGAGGCCGGGCCCAAAACTGCGTTTACCATAGGGCAAGGACTGTGACAGTTTAAAGTGGTGCCCTTTGGACTGTGTAATGCCCCAGCCACCTTAAAGAGGCTGATGGAGCGGGTCCTTAAAGGCATTCCCCGCACCCGCTGGGTGGTTTACTTGGACGATCTGTTGGTCCATGCCAGAGACTTTGACCAGGCTGTCCACAACTTACGGGAGGTCCTGACAGCCATCTGTAGCGCCAGGTTGAACCCGGCCAAGTGCAACATGCTCACCCGCCAGACGCAGTTCCTGGGGCACGTGGTCAGTGAGACCGGAGTGGCTACCGACCCAAGAAAGGTGGCTGTGGTGAGGGATTGGCCCCCACCAACCAACATCACTGAGCTGCGGAGCTTCCTGGGCCTGGCCTCCTATTACAGGAGGTTCGTCAGAGACTTTGTAACCATCGCTTACATCAGCTGACAAACAAGGGCTGGATAACTGTTTTAGTCAGTCCATCTGTGTGTGGTCCAGATTCCAACTGCACAAATGAAATAGGAAGTTACAATTGCTCATGTTTGGATGGATTCACTGTAACAAACTCAAATCTCAACATCAGCATCAATAACCCATGTAGAGGTACAGTTTAGATTTGTGTTTAGTCTAACCTTACTTAATTATCTAGAATTTATCCATATAACATTTACATTGATTTTATTAAATGAAGCATTGTATTGTAAAGATGACAAGGAATGGGATTAATCTGACCCAAACATTTCTTTTCTCTGTAACTTCCTTTTATTAAAGATGTGGATGAATGTGTTGAGAGATCAGAGGTCTGCGGTCCAAACTCAATCTGCAACAACACTGTTGGGAGTTACAATTGCTCGTGCAAGAGTGGATATAATGTGATATTCCCAAACCTCCCTATATATAGCAGTAACCCATGTAGAGGTATGATTGACAGCTGATCAATTATTTTATGTCAGATATTCAATATTAATGTTTTGACTCGCCAACAGTTTTTTGGCAAATCTCGTACTGTTGTAGTTTTAATTGCATGAAAAAAATTGTTTTAAATAATTGCTTGTTTTAATAATATTGTGTGTGTGTGTGTGTGTGTGTGTGTGTGTGTGTGTGTGTGTGTGTGTGTGTGTGTGTGTGTGTGTGTGTGTGTGTGTGCGTGTGTGTCCCAGATATAGATGAATGTCTGGTCAGTCCATCTGTATGTGGTCCAGATTCCAACTGCACAAATGAAATAGGAAGTTACAATTGCTCATGTCTGGATGGATTCACTGTAACAAACTCAAATCTCAACATCAGCATCAATAACCCATGTAGAGGTACAGTTTAGATTTGTGTTTAGTCTAACCTTACATAATTATCTAGAATTTATCCATACAACATTTACATTGATTTTATTAAATGAAGCATTGTATTGTAAAGATGATAAGGAATGGGATTAATCTGACCCAAACATCTCTTTTCCCTATAACTTCCTTTAACTAAAGATGTGGATGAATGTGTTGAGAGATCAGAGGTCTGCGGTCCAAACTCAATCTGCACGAACACTGTTGGGAGTCACAATTGCTTGTGCAAGAGTGGATATAATGTAACAGACCCAAACCTCCCTATAAACAGCAATAACCCATGCAAAGGTATGATTGAAAGTTGATGCATTACTGTTTGAACTGCCCTAATCTTCTGTTAACAGTAACCTTACAGTTTAGATTTGTGTTTAGTGTAACCTTATACATTTTCCGTTTTGATTAACAGTGAATGCTACTCTGAAAGTGCTGTGGGTTTGACTCGCTTATAATTTGCATTTGGGAACGCAACATAATTCCCAAATTCGTGACAAGAATCTTTTTTAAAACTGTTGTCAACTAACAGAAGGTTAAGGTCTCCTTGTAGTTTTCCACCAAAATAAAAGCTCAATGATTTAACATTTAAAAGCAAAAAAATGTAAGATAACCATAAATGTTATAAATTTAATTTAAAATAATAATGCCATGGTCTTGCACTCTAATCAGGTTAATAACCCTGCCAAATTACCATATTACATAAACATAAACACTAAGACTGCTCCAGAGCTAGTAGGTGCAGTATAGAGGCTAATGCTTTCATTCTGTATTTGTTGTTTAGGAAGACAAAATCTTGGCAGCCAAAAATAGACATTTAAATCCTTAGTCCTCCTTTTGTCACGCTTCAGCTAAGCTTGGTGTGTTAAATAGCACGAGGAAGAAGATTAAAATAAACTAACTTTATTACTGTAACAGAGGAAATATTTCACCAAACTCAACATAGGCATTAACGCGAACCGACAACAAAAAACTGAAACACAGGTAGATATATACTGGGAGAAACCAAAGAACTGATTAGCTGAAAACAATGACTAATCAAATCAGTAACCATGGTGACAAATTGACAAACTCAGGCAGGGAGACTGTGAACAAAGACAACACAAAGTCCAAGCACAATGAAACTGTTACACCTTTAGCTCTATAATGTTTAACATTTGTTTATTAGTGTCATCTTTTCAAGAAATAAATTACATGGTAGAATTATGTCTTTTCTATTTTGTTTAGTTTTTTTCTGCATTTTTTTTTTCAGTAACAACAGCAACAACACCAGGTATGTTTTCAGTAAAAACAGCAACAACACCAGGTATGCACTGTCCCAGCAAGCAATAGACGTCATTTCACCATCTAGGAGTAACACACCTCTATAAGTAACACACCTCTAGCCAAAATAACCTTGAATTTGGTTACATGTCGTTTTTTCCTAAATAACTTGCAAGATGTATGCTATTCCATCATGTATGCAAAGTTAACAGTGATTACAAGGTGTTTGGTTTCATTTCTTCACTCATTTCATTTCTTGTTATCTAATTGATGACTTGTCTATTCTTGAGCTATGGTTTAAGACGTCTATTACATTTTCACTGACAGCCCAAATTCAGCCTTGTTTTAGCCTAGACGTCTGGGCTGTGTTTGGACGGCTATTAGACGTCTTTTAAACACAAAATTGCTTTCTGGGGTAGAAAGAAAACTGATATACCACAAAATGTTGTTGATGAAAACACATTATACAGTAATATAACCTTTTTACAGTTATTAGAATGCAGTTGAATTATTTTTGCATAACATCCAGAGGAGCTGTGCAAGATTTTTAAATCACATATGTCAGTCAGAGGAATGATGAATGCATTATTAATGTTTGCTGCACACCATATTACATAAACACTAAGGTTGCTCTAGAGCTAGTAGGGGCATCGTAGAGGCTTTAATTTTTTTGTTTGTTCGTTTGTTTAAAAAGATAAAATGTACCTGCCAAACAAAAGTGTATAATTACTAACTTTATCTCCATTGAAATATTTTTTTAACCTTTTTAAAGTTAAAAGTTATTAATGGTAGCTTCACATTTTGATATCAGTCCCATCTCTAATGAGGTGAAGTGCCTATTTTATTTAGTAGTTCAATTCAATTCACGTTTAATTGTATAGCGTTTTTCACAATACACATCATTTCATTTCAAAGCAGCTTTACAGAAAGTGCATATTACAATTTAGAGTGTTCTGTTATCAGAGGTAACTGTCTAAGTTAAGTATTTCAGAAATGTAAATATACAAAGTCATAGATAGCTAAAAAAAAATTAAATAATGTAATAATTTAATGCAGATATAATGAGCTCATTGAAGTAACGAATACTTGTTTGTTGACAAATGATTATGACATTTAGAAAATATAGCATTGGTGCATGTTAGTATAAAACAATGTTTTTTTAACATACGTTTAATAGTTAACTTCATGCACTTCAATAAATGACAATTGCAAACATTTCTGAAATGGATTTATCATGTTTAGGAAAACCAAATTATTATTATTATTATTTATTTATTATGCCGTCTTTTCTGCTTGTTCCTTGTAGATGTAAAATATAGTTAAGAGATATTAGATGTATTTCCTGTTTTTTTAGAATTTTAATTTAAATTTTGTATTTCATGTATTTAAATTTTAATTTAATATTTAATTTTAGATACTAATAACACCTATTTCAACAACACTTGTTAATGTAAAATCCCAAAATGTAAAAATGCAGAAAGTTTTGTGTGATGGGTAGGTTTAGGGATAGTGTAAGAAATATACAGAATATACAGTTTGTACTGTATAAAAACCATTACATCTATGGAATGTCCCCATTTAGATAGCTAAGTAAACTTGTGTATGTTTCTCACTCTACTTTATGAACACACTGTTATATTTTTTTATGTCAATGCAGACCAGCAGGTAGCTAAATGCGACTGCCAGATTTTTTTTTATATTGTATTATTTTTATTACCACTCTATTTTTTATTAATTGTTCCATGAAGCTATTGATACAACACGTGTATTCATATTTTTCTGTTCATTCGCCATATTTATGAATATCAACAGGGCAAAATATTGGCAGTGAATACAAAAACACATGAACGGAGATGTTGAGAATAATTAGATTTATTCCATACCAGTAAACAGGTATACAGAGATTCTTGGTTCTTCTCTGCTCATGTGTTTTTTAATCCACCACCATTACTTGTCCTGCTAATGGTCATAAATATTGCGGGTGAATGGAAAAAGTGACTGAAGCGGATGAATTAATGCACTTTTTTTGTCTTGTTTAGAATTGTTTAGAGTTAAAATGTCATTGAGAATAAATGAAGATTTTGATACCAGTCTCAACGACCCCAATGATGAGAAGTACAAACGATATGCTGGTCAAATAAAGGAAGCGGTAAGTTTTTCATATCTTGTGTAATAAAAATGTTGATTGTTTATGCTTAATTAAATCAAATGATCAATGCAAGGTTTTATGGAGTAATATATGGCACTTTTCCACTGCATGGTACGGCTCGGTACAGCTCACTTTTTGGCGCTTTTCAACTGCATGGTACTGCTCGGTACGGCTCACTAAAATAGTATTACCTCGGGCTGCTCCAAATAGACCTTCAAAGCTCTAACGGGGTGAAGTAGATTAGCCTCCCCATTCTCGTCGGAAGGGGGAAGAGCTAATAGTGTAATAACCTGTGCTCTACACGGTTTTGAGAGCACCTTAGGGACATAGCCATGTCTGGGTTTGAGAGTAACTTTGGAGTCACCTATTCCAAACTCTAAACATGAGGGGCTCAGAGAGAGTGCCTGGAGATCTCCCACTCGCTTGATAGACGCCAGTGCCAGCAGGAGAGTAATCTTTAGCGAAAGTGGTTTAAGATCAAACGACTGAAGCGGCTCAAATGGAAGACCCTTCAGGGCCCCAAGGACCGTGGAGAAGTCCCAAGACGGTACAGAAGGAGGCCTGGAAGGGTTCATCCTCCTGGCCCCCTTAAGGAACCGTACGACTAAGTCATTTCTTCCTAGTGATTGGCCAGGCACCGATAAGCTGCTATGGCTGCCACATATACTTTGAGCGTGGACGGGGAACGACCCGCATCTAACAACTCTTTTAGGAAGGAGAGAATCACTGATACCTCACATGAGGTTCAAAGTGTCTAAACGAGCACCAGCCGGAGAACACTTGACCATTTCATGGCATAGAGACTCCTGGTAGAAGGGGCTCTAGCCTCAGTAATTGTGTTCATGACCTTCACAGGGAGGTCCCTGGGTACCCGTTGAGGGGCCACACATGAAGGGCCCATAAGTCGGGACGAGGGTGCCAGATCATCCCCTTCGCTTGTGTGAGAAGATTTCTCCTCAATGGGACAGGCCATGGGACTTTGTCTACCATCTCAACCAGCTCTGGAAACCACAGTCTGGACTTCCAGAGGGGGGCCACTAGGAGGACTGGGCATGGAAACGGTGGGAAACGCATACAAGGGACGACTGGGCCAGGAATGAGCCAGCGCGTCCCTGTTCTTCTAAAAGAACACTGCACAGTGAGTGTTGTCTCTCAAGGCAAAAAGGTTGACCTCGGCCTCTCCGGAAACAATCCATATCAGACGAACCGTCTGAGGGTTTAGAGACCACTCGCCTAGGGGAGTGGTCTCTAAACCCTCAGACGGGTCGACCTCTGCCTCTCCGGAAACACTCCATATCAGACGAACCATCTGAGGGTTTAGAGACCACTCGCCTAGGGGAGTGTTGTCTCGAGAAAGCATATCCGCACCCAGATTCTGAATGCCCGGGATATGCGCTGCTCTCAGAGAGCTCAAGTTGGCTTGCGCCCAAAGAAGGAGGTCACTCGCCATGGAGTACAGGTAGCCCGACCTGAGACCGCCTTGGCGATTGATATATGCCACCACCGACATGTTGTCCATGCGGACTAAGACGTGGTGTCCTTTCAGGTTCGACAGAAATGCTTTCAGGGCCAAGCAAACTGCTTTCATTTCCAAACAGTTGATATGTAAGCTCTGCTCCGTGCTCGACCAGAGGCCGGAGACAGGCTTGCCCTCGTGCAGCGCTCCCCAACCTAGGTTGGAAGCGTCTGTGAAAACCACTTTCCCTTGTGGTACCAGTCCTGAGCCCGCCAGGGAATCAGGGTCTGTAAACAACCGGGATTCACTGTAATGCGAATGCTCCCAGACCGCCATGCACGGGCTGGCACTCTGCGTTTGAGCCAGTGCTGAAGCGGGCGCATATGCAGTAATTCCATACTGAGTACTGGCAATGCGGCTGCCATGAGACTGAGAAGTTTCTGAAACTCTCTGAGGGTTGTGTGCGCGCCAGCTTTGAAGGAGGCTGTCAGCTGTTGAATGGAGAGCGCGTGCTCTGGTGTGAGCCGCGCTCTCATAGTTGTAAAGTCGATAACTGTGCCCAGAAAGATCACATTCTGGCTGGGGGTTAGTTTGCTCTTGGATAAATTGATTTTGAGCCCCAGGCATTCCAAATGGCCGAGGATCAATTATCTGTGCATCAATAGTTCGGCTCGCGACTGCGCCAGAACCAGCCACTCATCGAGATAATTCAGCACGCGCACTCCCCGGTATCTCTGACTGGTACCCCGGTACAACTGGTAGGGGGCCACCTAGCCGGGAGTGTGCTTGAAACATGCTCTTTATGTGCTTTATTGGGGTCGCTGTGAAAACAGTGTTCGTGTGTAGGGCTGCACACAGCGCAGACGGCCCATTTGCTACAATATAAAATGAGCTGAACAGGGAGCTGTGAGATTTGCGGGTTTCTTCGAGGGTGGTCCGGCTAGCGCGAGACACGAGCCCTCTCTTTTCACTCCTGTTGCTAGGAGTTCTTCGGAGGCCTAGGGTCCAACGCAATGCTGGGTCGGGTGCCCTGGCGCCGAGGCAGTGGGTAGTGCTTAGCTGGCCACTAGTGGCGGTGGGTATCAGCCGCAGTTGCAATGCGTTTTACATATAAGCTTCAATAAATCTGAGGAAAGGAGTTTCCCCACTGCGTATAGCTACGCAATACGAAGTGACCGTTATCGAAAGGGAACTGAATAGATAGATCACGAGTGTAATAGCAATCTATCCAACATTTTGGCAAGGGAAAATATGGCATAATCTCGTTCTGTGTAGTTAGTGTTGGGAAAGTTCACTTTCTACATGAACTACTTCAAAGTTCAGTTCACAAATTTTAAAATGAGCTAGTTCAGTTCACAGTTCATACTTCAAAATTTTTAACTAAGTTCACAGTTCCAAAAATGAACTAGTTCCTAGTTCTTTTTTCCCATATGTTTTTATATATGTTCCGGACGGCTGACAATTTCTACTCACTGTGTTTCGGACAGTTAAGGAGGAGTCATTTCTAATATAAAACACATACATTTTAACAACTATAAGTTGGTAAACGTCTCAGGTTACGACTGTAACCATAGTTCCCTGAGATAGGGAACGAGACGATGCGTCATCGACGCTTTGGGAACGCCCCCAGCGTGAATGCGTCTGAGCATCAATGTCAACTAGTCCAGTGGAAAGAATGAGCGTCACGGGCGGGTGACGTCATGACCAGGAAGGGATAAGAGCACATCCGGTGAAACGCGGCATTAACTTCAAAAAGTCGAAGCAAGCCGATTACAGGGATGCAGGAAGTATGGCAGGGTGACGCATCGTCTCGTTCCCTATCTCAGGGAACTATGGTTACAGTCGTAACCTGAGACGTTCCCTTTCAGGGAAACTCGTGATGCTTCATCGACGCTTTAGGAACGAGAATACCCAAAACGCCAGAATTCCAAGTACCTGAGTGTCAGTCTGTTGAAACTAAGCACTAAGCACCTGAGAACCTGGGACATCATCCAGGTCTAAGCTGTAAAACCTAACGAATGTGAGCGGTGAGGACCAGCCTGCCGCATCACAAACGTCTTGAAGAGAAACTCCAAATAGTAAGGCTTTAGAGGCCGCCATACCCCTCGTTGAGTGAGCTCTGACCGCCAAAGGACACGGCTGGTCAGAGTACTCGTATGCAAGTGAAATAGCCTCAACTATCCACTTACTAACCGTCTGTTTAGAAGCAGGAAGACCCTTCTTAGGTGATCCAAAGCAAATAAATAACTGGTCGGATTTCCTCATTGAAGATGTCCGATGAACATAAGTATCCAGTGCTCGCACTGGACACAAGAGGTTCAGCCTTTCCTGGTCCGCAGATGTAAAAGGAGGAGGACAGAAAGCCTGCAGCACAATAGGCCTCGGAATCAAGGTCGGCACCTTAGGGACGTATCCCTTTTTCGGATATAAGAATGCCTTGACCATCCCCGGTGCAAACTCAAAGCAAGTGGGGGAAACCGAAAGGGCCTGAAGGACTCCAACACTCTTAAGGGATGAAATAGCTAGCAGAAAGATAGTCTTAAGGGTAAGAAATTTCTCTGAAACCGAATCTAAGGGCTCGAATGGAGCCCTAGACAGGCCTTCTAGTACTATTGCCAAATCCCAAGCTGGCACCGTAGTGCGAGTTGCAGGCCTCAGCCTCAATGTGCCACGAAGGAAACGTGTAATCAGGGGGTCTTGACCCAACGATGTACCCCTCACCAGGGCGTGGAAAGCCGCAATGGCAGCCACGTAGACCTTAAGCGTGGAAGGACATAGACCTGACGTAAAGCGCTCCTGCAAGAACTCGAGTACTGTGTTCACAGAACAGTTAACCGGATCCCACTGATGTCGGTGACACCATACAGAAAAAACTTTCCATTTCAGCGCATATAGTTTCCTAGTAGCTGGAGCTCTGGAGCTTAGAATGGTCTCAACAACCTCAGTTGAGAGACCACTCTCTATGAGTTGGGCCCCCTCAGAGGCCAAACCCACAGGTTCCAAATCTCTGGTCGGGGGTGAAATATTGTGCCCCCGGCCTGAGACAGAAGGTCTCTCCTGATCGGGACCGCCAAGGGAGGGCCGTCGAGGAGAAGAATTAGGTCCGCAAACCAAAATCGGCTCGGCCAGGGTGGTGCTACTAGCAATAGGCTTATTCCATCCTGGCGGATTCACTCCAGAACTCCTGGGAGTAGAGCAACAGGGGAAATGCGTACAGACGTAGCCTCGGATACATCTGCACCATAGCATCCAGCCCCGAGGGGGCTGGTTGAGTGAGGGATAACCAGAGTGGACAGTGCGTCGTATGCTGAGACGAGAATAGATCCACTTTGGCTGGCCGTAAAACTCCCATATTTGCTCCACCGCCTCGGGGTGGAGCCCCCTGGCCTCAGCCCCTGCCTCGACAGGGTGTCTGCTCCAATATTCTGGCCCCCTGGAATATACACTGCCCTCAGACAATGTAATTTCCTGAGAGACCAAAATAAGAAGCCACCAACGTGTTGTCTGTGGGACAAGAACCAGATTTTCCTCCATATAACCAAGG